GCGCCATCTTGTTGAAACCAGGTCCTGCTATGGTAGACCTCAAAATTATGCAGTTGTGGAAAGAAAGAGTTACGTAGCCTAGCTGTGTAGCGATTAGAATTTACTATTACACTGTGGCCTTGCTCGTTTTCGAAGAAATAGGATCCGATGATTCCTTCAGCGAACATATGGCCGCCCAAGCTGTAACATAACGCGAATGCAAAGGTCGTTGATGTTTTAATTTGGGATTTTCTGCGGCAGAATAATGGTAATTTTGCTTGTTTTCAAATCCGCTCAAAAGAAAATGAGCTTCATCCGAAAAGAGAATGTTGCTCAAACTTGGAAAGCGCTCTACATTGTTTCGGCAGACGCACGGCGTATATGGTGGTCCTGCGATTTCAAATCCTGCACTATACTACAACTATTTAAAACTGTAATGACTCATACGCGTGATCAACACGTGATCAGAGCTCGATCCCGGCTTCCTTCCAGTACAGCCGTATAGCGTACGACATATGTCGTTTCTGTGGCTTTGCGGTGGTCAACAGCACAGACAGAGATGGAAATAATGGCTAATTGTTCTCCGCCGGTAGAACCAATGAAATCAAAGACGCGCCTCGACCGGTAGACTCATAGGCGTCGGCAACGCATTGGAACGTGTTTCATTGAGCGATCGCATATTGTGTGTTTTTATAAGAATTGTTGTGTGATTGTTATTGTTGTGGTTTCTGTGGTTACTGTTATACTTAACCATGGAGAGTACAAATGGCACGAGTGGAAGTACTGAAAGCCAGGGAACAAGTAGACGGCTTCGTAAAGCACTGAAGAGGGACGCGAAAGAAATCGTGCTCAACGTGTTCAATTATCTGAACAGAACTATGTCGCAGAGAGATGCACTATAGTTGATATTTATGTGGATGCAATTTAAGATCTTTTACCAAAATACGTCTTAAACCGCTCCCACACGATGTGGCGAATGCCTTACAACGTTGGACACATGGCCATTCGCCACATCGTGTGGGAGAGCGCTGACGGATTGCATGTGTCCAACGTTCGCCACATAGCACGTTCAGGCTCTTGTCGGTAAATTTAACTCGAGTCAAAGGACCTTACAACGTTGGAAGCATGGTTCGTTTCGTTCCCACACGAGATGTCATTTGTTTGATGCTTTTAGGTTAGAACCAGTAGCGGCGACAAACATTATTTATTTCTTTGTTGTGATTGTGGTGAAGTAGTGGTATGTGGGAAGTATTTTGATTTGGATACCTACCCATTAATAATAATGTATGTTCCGTAACTAACTTTTGATGAGAATGGATTAAATTTCTATACATACAAGGCATAGGCTGCCATAACAACACTTTTTTCATATCGCTAATATTTTGTACGTAGCGCAGGTAAGTTATGGCTGGCCTAAGGATATGTATTTGAGTAAATTATAAATTATCAAGTGCTTAAAGTTGTTTCATTATAATGTCCTGTTGCAATACAAGACTAGTTGAGAAATATATTGAATTCCATTTCATAACTAACGAAAAAGATTAAATAAATGATAACTCTGAAAGTACTATCAGGATTTTGATGAAATTTTGACCCTAGGTTACTACTATCAAAATGACGAAAAAGCTCTGCAGTTTTTGAAAATCGGTACAGTGGCGGTGGTCGAAAAACAAACAAAAAACGGTCGAACTTCGTTTTTCGACATTTTTTAGGCTTCTGACGGACTTAAAAGTTTTGGTCGCTGAGGACAGACCTGAAATTATTTTTCGGCGCTCGAAAAAATTGTTTCCTCGTTTATTTTGTATAATTTTTCCTTCAGTTGTAAAGGTCCAAGCGCGACACTGACACCGATAATAGACGTTAGCATCACCATGCGACGAACGTCCGAGACTAAAAAGTTCATCCCATCGTGTAGGAGACACACTTGCCAATTGTGGGGTGTCGAACGTTGTAAACAACGTTGGAAGCATCGTGTGGGACCCACATTACACATGTTCTTGATATGGCGAGCTCAACTGATCTCTTTCGGGATGGTAACTGCCGAGCGGACGTCGCAACTTCGCTTACAATTTACTGTTATATTTCAATGAATTGACGTTGCTCCCCCGCAATTTGCTGACTCAATGTCGAACCGGTAGACTACAAGTTTCTGTCCCGCTATCTGATCACAGTTTCACTAGGACATTGATTTAGATCATGTAAAATACGCCCCCATTTTTTCATTTTTTATATTTTCCATGAAGTTTTCAGTAACTTTTGTATAATTAAGTTCATACCTATCTTTAATCGTTGTGAAGCTATTTGAATTTATAATAAAATTCGACTAACTTAATATTGATAATAATGGAATGCACGACAAAAAATAATAATCATGGATACCAGCAAGAACATTTAGCATCTGTCAGTGTCATCGTATAACATAGAAAAACGTTATCTTTCATTTCAAGTTGTGAAGTTATCTACCTAGTTGTGATAAATATTGAACAATGACTTATTCAATTCATGGAAGGGTAGAAATAACAAAAGTGTATTATCAGAATGGGAGCATTGCAAGAGCTACTGCCCGGTTGTTTTAATGCGTTTAATGATAGAAGGTTGGAGTTTGGCGAATTAATGTCCCAACGTTCAATCAACAACGCAAATCTGTTATTTAATATTTGTTTCTCGGATGAGTGTACGTTCTATATACATGATGCTGCAAATAGACATAATTGTCGATATAGGAGTGACTCGAATCCACATTTGTTTCGAGAGGTACATACAAAAATGTGTGTGGGACGGTATTTTCGGAAATCAAATTTAGGACCTTTCTTCTTTATTTTCGGAAATCAAATTTAGGACCTTTCTTTATTCCTTAGAAAATACAATAGAGTCACGAATTACCGAAATAATAGAACATGATGTTAATTATAGTGCAAATTACATTCATTTCCAACAAGATGGTGCACCGCCGCACTATATGGCTTCAGTACGACAGTTTTTGGACAACCATTCCCCGAATCAGGGACCTAAGTCCTTTAGATTACTTTCTTTGGGAGCATTTGAAAAGTAAAGTTTGACTTCATAGTTTCCATTCAATATCTTCGCCAGGATTACGGCTGAATCTAAACAAATAACTTGAGACTTGGAAATTTAACAGAATCAAAAAAAATCTTTATTATTGCATGGAGGTGAATGGACACCACTTCAGCGTTTATTACCACATTGACCTACCTCTTTATAGCAAAGTAATTTTTACTTTATCTTTAATGTGCGTGTTAGCTGTTAGTTTTTTTTTTTGTTTTTTCAATATTACTTATTCTTAATTTTAAAGTAAAGTCTTGTTACCATGGGGACTATATTGATTATTATTTTTACGATAGATAATTTTTTATTATCACAATTTCTAGAATTTTATTATAAACTCAAATAGCTTCAGAGCGATTGAAGATAAACTTTATTATGCAAAAGTTACTGAAAACTTCACGGAGAATATAAAAATAAAAAAATGGGGTTTTCCATCCAAAAATCTAACATGTGACGCAATATCTTATTTTTGGATCACCCTGCATTGTACGGCTATAGATGAAAAGTCGTCCCCCTAGAAATCAAAATTGACGTGACTGAGCGTTTTTTCCAAAATATACCAGGAGAGTCACAAAGGAGGGTGCGACGTTTCCGTTGGGCCACCCTGTATGGATACGACTGACGACACTGGTCAAATAAGCAATTTAATAATAATATTCCGCGTAGGGCTAAAAGCTAAATAGCTATAAGGAGACATATATAAAGCTTTGATCATTTACAGATGTTTTAGTTATACAGGGTGTCAAGCCGGAAACGGGGGATACAAGTCATAATAGTTATCTGGAAAATTTAAAAGAATCCAAGTCATGTTACTACAAATTTCATTTTTTTTTTTTTTTAGACAGGCAATAGAGATTTTTTTGCGAGATCCCGTAGTGAACGGAGTGGGAACAGATAGAATTTCCCATTCCTTTTTGTGTTGAACCGTCACGAACGGTGCCTACAACTATAGTAACGTTACTTTTATTAATTTATGAGCCACCATGTCCGTGCTTACTGTAAAGGAAAACGCCAACATGCATCTCATTTATGAGGAATGTAGGTGCAATGCTAGGCTTTATCGTGATAGGTACCCAAATGCTGCTCGTCATCCCGAACACTAAGTTTTTGTGAATGTGCACCATTTATTCTCAGTGACAATTCCCAAATCAAGCACATGGTGAAGGAAGAATTTTCTATCCTTGCGAGGACGTCGTACTACAAGCAGTCGAAGAAGAACCGAGTACTTCAGCACGACAAATAGAAGCAAGCACGGAAGTGCCCAAAAGCCCACCGAATCTTACGCAAGGACGCGTTCCAGCAATAATACGTTAGATTTCATGCTTCTAGACAGTACCAAGTTTGATATTCATAGCTATCTAGTAGAAGTTCTAAGATACTTTAGTCACTTTTACTTTGAAACGTTTTCAGCTGTTGCAGTTGTAATCTGGAGCGTCAAAATAAGATGCATGCTATTATCACCTAGCCATACGATCCGAGGATTTAGTGGTACTTGAGAAATTAAGTATTTTCCGTGCGATTGAGGATAATAATTTATCATTTTTTTTCTTTCGCGCGTTCGGGCTCCGGTAAGTTGGTGGCCCCGGATTGTAATATGGCGATTGCTACATATCTGGTCGTGACAACTTCATTTGACAAACTTATCGAATGTGAATAGTCGATACATAGAACAAATTTTGCGTCTCATAGCAATGGTTTCTGCCATCCAAGTGACGTGTTTGTCCCAAATCCAATTCATGGAGAAAGACATCATCTCAAGCCCTGTATACATATACAGTATGTTACCAGGTATACATGTTAACACTGGTTTTGTGCTACTCCACTAAGTCGTGTGTAACTTTTGTTATTTGGTAGAGGGGGCATGAGAGTAAAGTTGCAAGTCCCCTAGGATGATACAACTGAGATATTCATGGTATAGCATACTGTATACAACATTAATATAATGAATAAACAAATTCTATTTATCACCATTTATTGATAACAGCACCATTTTCTTCCCTCTCTTACAACTTCTCATTTTTTCCTCTAAACTAAGACAGGTCTTTCTTTTCAATAAAGGGATATAATTTTTTTGTCTTACACCTTGCAATAAGTTTTCACTAAAACACTGCGTATTGTCCATTGATGTTTCTGTCATTAGAGAGTCAATCATGTCTCTGATCATATTCTGCCTGAAAAGGAATGTTTAGCTTTTGGTCAATATTAAATACAATGCCAATCACACCTATATTAAAACAGTTACAAAGAGATAATTTAATAGTTGCCACTGACTAGTTACACAAAACTCTAGTAAAGAAATTACAAAAGCTCTATATTAGAAATCTGCATAGAAAATATGACCTATCAGTCTAGAGATAAACGTTTTTGTTAACTTATAAATCAATGGTTATGTGTCAATTGTGGAATGTCATTAAAATTATCAAGCTTCAATTCAGTCTTTCAAATTAGGTATATTCTTTAATTCACCAGTTGAGCTACTGGTGCAACCGGTTAGACAAGTCTGCGTCCTTTAATTTCCGCTGGAACGACCGGTTGTACATCAAAGTTGTCTTTATATTGATGATGGATATGCCACCGGTGCCAACAGCATCCACCGACGTTCGGTCCTTTTGTGACAACTACAGTTTTATGTGAAAAAAATGGAAGAAGAAAAGATTGAAGTTATGCTACAGCATAGGAGTGGCGTGAAATTTAATGTTTTTTTAACACAATTCGAAATAAACAGAGCATCTGAAGGCAAGTGATTTTATCTTGAATTATGGATATCTGAAAATTTGCTCTTTCTATCCACTGGATAACTTCTTCATTCGAATCGCTTAACAAATTTTCCACCACAATATCAACTACTGCGTACATTGCCATGATGATTTTAAATGATACAGAGTTCAAATTACCAAGAAACCATTCACGATAAAGCAAATGTTAGGTTTTCTCAAATGATAGCAATCTGAAGGCTAAAAATGCGTGTTTTTATTAACCACCATTCAACGGAACCGGTTGCTGACGTCATCACATCAGCTGTCAATCATAAGTTCACCGGATCCATCAGTGATCGAATCAATGGGTGAATTGAAGAATATACATATAATGTAGCTTACTTGATAGCTGTAAATGTCCAACAACTTTGTAACTTTTCCAGTACTTGTCTTACAGTCTCTTTATCATATTGCCACTTCGTGTCTCCATATTCACAATAGAACAGGTTTAAGGGAACTTCACTAGCCATGCCATATTCTGGTTTCCTAGAAAAACAATTATTCACATAATATGATATTATTTAAGATATTTATTTTCAATATGGCCATTGGCCATATGCTAAGCTGTTACCAGATAAATACATGTTTCGTATAACTCGAGAATAATATGTGGAACTTAAAACTACCTGGGATGTTTGGTGATGTCCAACAACTGATCTACAATAGAAGGTTGCTCCTTGCCTTGTGCAACCAAAAGCAGAACACCTAGTATGCAACGAATTTGATGCCATAAAAATGCATTGGCTTGGATTTTAATAACATACATTGTGTATTCTAAAAAGAAACTAATTAGCAACTCTTTACTAAGAGTTATTCTCATTACCATCCTCAGGATCTGAAGATTTTAGGGGAGCTATGGTAATAGCTGTGATATTTCTAACAAACTCTGTCACCCCATTACCAACATCCATTTTACAAAGGTTTCTAAAATCATGAGATCCTACCAATTTCCTGGATGCATCTCTCATTAACTGAAAATGAAAGTTTAAATCAGCACAGATCACAGAAAATGTGTTCAGTTTTATTTTTTTGAGCAAAATTTAGAATTTACTGATAAATGTATAAATATAAACAGGTTGCTAATAAAATTCATTTGGAATCATATAACTTAAATTAGTCTTGTTACAATTTAAACTTATCGAATCATCATCTTTACAAACTAGTATCCTCAGAGAAGCTCCAAAAAAAGGTGATATAATTTCAAAATTTCCTCATATAGTACTACTGAGCTCAAAACATAATTTGAATACACTGATTACTCACCTCAACATTAAGTCTCCCTTTAGGAAAGTAATATTTATAACTTCTTGATTTACAATCAAATCTAGAACTGAATTCATCACTTACAGGACTCCAAGCCACACACTGAATGTTATCAGGTAGAACTCTGTTCAAAATCTTGCAGTAATTCATTTCACCATAGATATTATCATTCTCTGGCTGTAAATTACTTCTTACAGTTATAGATATGGTTTGTCCATATGAACTAACACCCTTATCTGTTCTTCCACATCTGTGGTAGTTTGATGTTGACCTATCCTTAATCAGACGTGTTTTTAATAATGCTTTAAACAAGTGGTGTTCTATTGTATCCAATGTGTTTTCTTGTACTACAAATCCTTTGTAATCCCATCCTAAATATAATATTCTAAGCAATATGTGTCTTGAATTGTGCCTAAAAATTATTATTAAGTGTTTAATGGTAAGGATGTAGAGACTACTTTTTTTTAAAAAGGCTGAGTACCCAGTACCACTTGGTCAGATTAGATTAATGGGTCCTTGGTGGAGTGATTTGCTTATCTGGGTTATTTCACCTACTGTTTGTGATAGTATATATTTGCATTTTTGAGAGGTCCCTTATTCTCAAAATTGAATTACTTTCCCAAGAAATTAATGCACCTCAGTTGTGCAGCTTAGACAATTTTTTGTGAGTAAACATTCGCAGGTTGGTGTATTTGTATTATTTTATTTAGTTTTGAATTTCTAAATATATAAACAGTCTTGCAATAGCCAGACATATGTTTATCCTTGTGAAATTCAGCAGCTGCAATTAAAATTGAAACCATATTTTGGCATTACATTTTTACAACTGTTTTTGTTTTTGATATACCTTTCAATCCCTTCTATTTCAAAAAGCACATTTGTAAGACATTTATTTGGATATTTAGGTCTTCACCTCAAACATACATTTTTGTTGAAGATAGGCACTGCCAGACCTCATACTGCACGTTTTTTGAAAAATTCCTGAAAGAATTGCTGCCCTGTCATAGCCATTAAAAATAATATGTTGAATATTACTTTGCAATCTAATAAACTTTTCACTCCAAAATTAGTAGTCTAAGTCAGTGCCAAACCTTGTCACATATAAAATATGTTTTCTTCCAACTTATACATTTACCAATAGTTTTACTAGAACTTCAACCATGAATACCATTAATGTGGTACAGGTCCCCTTCAGTACCAACATCTTGAACACTGAAATTAAATCTTATGGGTTTCTGAGCTGGCTTTAGATTTACAAAAGAAACAAAACCACCAGATGTTGCGACCAATTCAGATTCAGGATGACTAAACCTAAATTATCCTCACATATGAGTAAAAAATTTCTTTGCACGAACTCAGAATACTTGTTATCCCAGTTACTTTTCAACTTTTGATGCAACATTTTAGTTCATTTTGTGGTTCTTGTTATTTTTTGAATGTTAATATGAAAGAGAAATTAGCAAATAAGGAATACAAAAAAGCAATACTAAAATGTGGTTTCAGATTTAACTCCTATAGTAGTTGCTCCATGGACTATTATACTTTTTATAATAAAATATAGCAGTAACATGTTGTATAGGAAAAATAAGCTGCTGTAAATAATGTAAGCACACTAGCTTACTGGAGATGATGAATATTCAATAAAAAATCCAAATCTGATAACTGATTCTGGAAAAAATATGTTGCAACCATGTCTATATTTTTGATAGTGCAGTAATTTATTGGAGGCATATGAGCTCAGGCATTGCACATCACATCTACAATTCTCTGATCTACAGAAGCTGTGTGTCTTGCGTTCAGACCAAGAAACTAATCAGCTGAGTAATTTAATACTTGGGGTTAAATAGGCCTACTACCAAGTACAAACCGAGTACTTAATGCATCCCCGCTTAATACGATAAAGTTACACTGTACTCAGAACTTACTTGGAGAAGTCAAATTCTTTTTGATCAGTGTTGGTGCATTGCTTTTCTGACTTCTGTAAAATGCTTTTCAACTGGAAATTATGAGCTTTCAATGCTTTCACTTTAGCAATGAGTTCCTATAAAAATGAAGCTGTAGAAACAGAGAAACGCCAATTTTTCAACGTATGTATTTCAATGTAAAACTGAATTATTCCATACCTCTTTACTGCAATTCTGTAATTCTTCCTCTACTAATATATTGCATGTATTGTCCATCTCCATTACTACGTTACTCACAAACGTTACTTTTATAATGAAACTAGAAAAGTTAATTAAAAATCTGAATCAACAATCAACCGTACTTTTTTTTGATAAAATGTAAACGTAACCTAAAATCCCTAAAATGCTGTTCCGTCTTATGATTATAAACAACTATACCCTACTTTACTATCCATCACGCGTTGACGGACACTTTGACGCCTATGGAGGTGAACAGTTGATCAGGACGTGACATTTTTGTGTTAGTCTGCAACGTTGACAATCATGAATCGGGTATAAATCGAGTCAAACTTGTTTTGTTTCTTGTATGAAAATGAAATTTTCTAAATAAAAGAGCTGTTAGCAATTACAAAATGAATCTGTAGCGTACAAAAAACCAAAACAAAATACGGCTGTGACTACCTGGCGTTGACGGATGCGTCAGAATCGTATTCGAATTCGTTGGTCAGAATCGTGTCCTGTCCGATATAGGGAATTTCGAGATATTACTAGATAATCAGTTGTCATTCTACCGTGATGGGCACTCGTGAAATAGAGTATAACTACACTCTTCGTGGATTTTGTGCCGTGGCATAGACAGATAAATTTGTCAGTGTCGCAGCCGTTGAATAATTGTACAAAAACGTATTCCTGACTGCTACTTTTTTTCATACAGTCACATTACAATAATTAACGAATGGTAGTAGTGATGAATCAGTTTTGATACTGGCAAATCTATGTTTTAAGTCTATCATTTTAGCCACATTGGCAAATTTCATACTGGATCAGTGTTAAGTGTTATAATCTAAGGAATGCTAGGAATGTTCCGGGGATTTCGTTTGTTCGTAATTTGAAATCTGCTGAAAATTTCCGATATTGAAGGTATATTTCATGAACATATTCATTAAAAATACCCTAAGGGTAATATCTCTTTCAGCAGTTTTGATGAAAACAAGGTTCAGAATATTAAAATCCAACACTAATTATGAAGCACAAAAGTATATTTAATTTAAAAAAATAATCATATACTGTTCACAATGGTACGAATTGAATTACACGAAAATATAGATCGATTTATTCCAAATTCACATTCACAATTTTGCTGTATAAAGCTTAGGGCTTTATGACGTCTCTGCCGATATTACCCTGTTTTATTTAACCCTTAACCGCCGTAGTGCGGTCACTGAGACCGCAGCGCATATTTATTTCTATATATATTATCCCTCATTATCCCTACTTCAATATAATCAGGCAATATCCTCGATACCTTCAAGTGACCACGTGGTCAGTCTGTCGCTAAAAGTTGAAGGTGGCACTTTTATCGGTTTACAATAGAAAAACGACAAAAGTTACAGAGCGGTCACAGTGACCGGTCTACGGTGTCTATGTTAGTATATCTATTAAGATTTTTGTATAGCCAGTGTAATTTCCTGTCAACTTTGTGGATTATTTTTGGCAGCACAGATCCTCAAGATCAAGAATGAATCGGAATTATACTAAAGGGTTTCCCAATAGGGATGATAGGATTTTGACAGCATCCTGCCGCCATCTTAGTTGTCTTTTTTCTGACAGCAGAGTTATTTTGTGTTCAGTAAGGCAGTTTGGAAATCGACTAAATATTCTATCAAAGTTCGAGAAGTGTTGTCGCTACTTAAAGAACATATCGTGCTAACTGTGGTGTTAGCTCGATAAACGTAATATATAATATAATTCAAAAACTGGAAAGTAAATATTCTTTGCACAATAGTAGACCACTAACTAGACTGCGATCTGGCCGTAGTTACTTGATATTTGTAATGTAAATGCACATGTTCTTCATCAGTCGTTCAAAAATATCACAAAGATCGAAAAAGCAGACTTTCTAAACATTTTTGTTGATCAATTGGTAAGAGCCCATCTTATAAGGCGTGCAGAAAATACAAAACTAAAGCGTGACATTCGGTCTACAATTCGTAGAATTCTATCATTCCCTGACCGTGCTGAAGAGGATGTTCCCGAGGAAAAATTATAAAAAAAGAAAAACATGTCACTTGTTCACCAAGAATTAAAAGAAAATCTTTTTATTTATGTAAAATGTGCCATAAGCTTACTTGTTTGGAGCATTCTTTAAAAATTTGTAAAAATTTTAAACATAATATTTGACTTCTTCACCACTTGTATTTTTTTATTCCTTTCAAGTTATCACTCAAGCTAAGTTATGTCTCAGTGGACAGTTTATTCATATTTTAGAATCTGTTACTAATTCCGCATAGAATATTGTGTTTTGTTTTATAGCTAATTAAGATAAGGAATTTGTGTAAAAATATGTCGAAATGAATGATGTTCGATGTTTTTATTTTTTTAAATGAAGTATGGTAAAAATTATATGTTCTCATTCTACTCTGCCAGAATATTTACAACACGCAAAATATTTTATTTTTTGTAATTGAGATTGTTAGTAATGTGCGGTCACTACCGCACTACGTCAATGAAGTTACGCTTTTTGGACTACAGTAGTTAAGGGTTAGTATAAAAAAACCTTCGTACTTTATATAACGGTGCCAACTACAAGGATTATAAAGAGGCTGAATCCAGACATGTAATTTTGAATAATCTACCAAGTACTCGTACATCATGCCGATAAGTTCCCAGTCTATCTATAGCACTTTATAACTTATGACAGTCTTTTTAACTTCTGGATCTTCCACAATAGTCACAATACCTCTCACGTATTACATCACAGCTACTGATAGTGTTGCTTTATATTCTATACTCATTTTTAACAAAATATCTTCGAAAGCATCAGCGTTGATAATCTGGATATCAACCAAAACACACGCCACATTTGATATTTTTACATATTGATAAAGATCACGTCACGTGATGCCGGTAATACAGTTTCCTCGATTTTGCCTGTAGAGGATGACCTTGGTGTTGCCAGTTCGCCCATAAGATGTTTCACTCCCCTGATTTGTTCTATGGTAGTGTATATATGTTTTGTGTGTTTTGTTTTGTAAGCTGCATTGGCGGTTATGCGTCAAGATTGCTTTTTCAACTTTCAACCGTGTTTGAATTCTACTACCTTTCTTTTTCTTTTTCATACTCTTGTTTGTGCTTATTACATTACAATACTTGAGCCGTTTGTGCAACGTAAAGCAGAATTACTAACTTAAAATGGTAAGTGACATTTGTATATTAGGTAAGGATCCTGACTAAACTTTGTACCAATTTTAGCAGAGTCTGGTACAGGACGTCGAGAACTTCCGCAACTATTTCCACTCGAAAGAAAAACGTAGACAAACTTTTACCTCCTGGGTTTTTGAAGACGATGTGGAGTGCAATGCTGATGCGGTATGTATTATAATAATATAAGCTTGAACTCATGATTTATGGGCTTACACAGCATTATAGCAAATTTTGGACGCTTATGCATTTGACTTTGTACAGCTGCCAAAACTAACTTGAAAACTCAAGCTTTGGTGCTAAAAGTTTATATACCAACAAATTTGGTCTGTATTCTTAATTGTAAAAGTAGCAGCTTGGCATGGGGCAATGGGTGCCTACAGAGGAGGTCCCAGGATGGGCTCTGCCTCCCTGAAAATCCAGTTTGACCTAAACATTTTCTTATTTAGCGTGATTTTGTGTACAAGTTTGGAATTGGACTTTTAGATGACTCCCCCAAAAAAATTTGCTGACCTACGTAATTCGAAAAGTCTAAATGCAAATTGCTTACTTTATATGTATGATTTTTTAGTCTGTACCTACCTATGTCTGCCCCAGAATTTTGTTCTGATTTTGTAAATAAAGCTTTGTGGTTCTGTATGTTAGTATGCAGTAGCTCTAGACCCACATTTACAGGAAGTCTTCAAGTTATTTTGCAATGTACTTCCTCTTGTAGATGTATTTCCACTTTTTTGGATATGACAAGATTTCTTTAACCTCCATATGTGGGCATTCTTCCTGCTATATTTCAAGGTTAAGTTATTAAAATTCTTATAATTTTTCATGATGATTACTTTCATTAGAGGTTACTGACTATATGAATTCAATGTGTTTAGACATCAGTAGTGGGGTGGGGTGAAGTGGCCAAACACAGCCTGTGAGACTGCGTGTCCATATTTAAAGGTTAATTTTGTTGTTTCACAGTTAGCTGAAGCAGGGTTCATTTATGTAGGCACCAAAGATGAACCAGACAGCACACAATGCTTTGTGTGCAAAAAGACACTAGATGGTTGGGAAGCTGAAGATAATCCATGGAGCGAGCATTTAAAACATCAGAAGGATTGTCCATTTGCAGCACTGCAGAAATCTCAGTCGAAGCTGACTGTACAGGAATATATTGAAGCAGAAACAGAATGCCTCAAGAAAGTCATCAACTCAGCTAGAGAGCAAGATCTGAAAGATCACCAAAAATGGTATAAAATATTAGTATCACAAGAAAAGTATGCAATGCAAAATATGCTTACTGAAAGATCTTCAAAAATTATTTGACAAAATATGATTCTGATATAGGCATATAGTATTTTTATTTTTTAATTGTTATAGCGTTTTGATACAATTGTCCTAGGTAGTATAGATATTAAAAAAAAGAAATAATATTCATGGTTTTATTGATGCCTAGCCATGTTTCTATAACTGTTTGTGACAACATCTACAAAATTGTAAATCATAGAAGATGTATTCTTACTTTGGATTGGTAACTGAAAAGTTGTTGGCATGGCTTTTTGTAATATTTCTTTAACCATGTGTGGAGGTTTTAGGCATACTGAATAATTTGGATCATTTTGGCAATTTGACTCATTTTTCCCACCTTTGGTCAGTTCAACTTTCCAAAAAAGGAACATGTGCCTAACTCAGTTGAAGATTGAGAAGTAACAGCAATCAAATTAGCTACAAAATTATTTATCTCATGATGAAAAAAATTAAAAGAGCTAGAGAAAGAAATATGATGCAAGTCTCCAGTAGGTATAGATTTTTTCACTGAACTAAAAATTGCAAATAACTCTAGGATATATGGTTGAATTTATAATTGTATGTGTTATTGACATTGCATATTTAAAAGATAAGTTAGTACTTGTTTGTCAAAACAGCAAAAGTATGTTAACTCATGGTGTTATTATATCTTCCATATACCATTAGAAATGTGCACTATAAAATACTACAGCCTCAGATTTATGCAAGGAACTGGCAACGACGCGTGTGACGTTATTGCACAATCTGTTGCACTCTGGATAGCAGGGGACTGTACCTCTTTAGTGTATATGTTTTGTGAGCTGCATGTTCCATTCAAAACCAAGGAAGGAATATTCTTTATTTAACAATTGAAGGGGTGAGTGAATGAAGGGGGTATGTAGCAAAAAGTTGATTTCGAGATATTTGGCCTGTAAAGTATTTTTGCTGTTACTTTAATGTAAATTAGTTTATTCAAATACAGAGTACATAAAGCTGTTATGGGGAAAACATTTTTTTCATATTGTAAAAAAGTGACAATGTATCGGAAAACAAATACAAAAAAAACATTTCTGTACATACCTCCTTCTTCTATCAAAGATTTGCAATATTTTAACATATATTATTGCATGGAAAGAGGTATGTTTACTTAGCCCCTTCTTCCACAACATTGACTCCACTTTTCATCTATTGAAGGATAGCATGGCTAGCTATCACTCGGTTGAGTTATTAGTTGTGTAGTGGAGAGGTGAGACGAGAAGGAGGACTTGCAGATGAACACATAGAAATGGAAGGATGCAAAAAAATATCAATGCCTACATATATATCGTTGTATCAAGAAATTTATTTATAAGTACATATCAAGTTCTTAAGTTCTGGTTACTCGTTTATGACCTTCTGATAAAACCACTTGTGTTCGTTCGGAACAAAGCAGAGTTGTTCTTTTGAATTATTGCCTTTTTTTATAAAGATCCAGTCTTCCTAAAAAGCCTTGGGATATCAAATTCTTGGGGAAGAGTATCCATGGACGTTATACGTTTGTGGATGTTAACCTGCTTGAAGGGAGTAAAGAAGTCAAAACTCTCCTTGTAAAGATAAGATCCAAATTCATCCACATGAATCCATTTGATCCCATCTCTGAAAGGGACTTTTTCTTTCAAGTTATTTTTTTTCCTGTTGACAAGTTTCATTTTTTGTGGCAAGTCTTCCGTGTTTCTAAAATGGTTTTCCATGTTGATTACTAAATTTTTCTTGCTAGATGTGGCGATAACCTCCCGATATTGTTCAGGAGTACTTATAGTTTGGTGCTTCCTCAAATTCTTTTCTATTCGACCAAAATCACGATCAGAATCCAAGTAAGAGTGTCCGACCTCTGGGAACTTATGATCTATTCTCTTAAAATTACCTTTTTGAACCAGATATTGGAACAAACAAATCATTAAAAAATGTTTGTTCTACCTAGCGCAAGAATCTGTTGATGATTAAGTGGTCTTTCGGTTCAAGTGGACTTTCAACTTCTATAGCTCTGAGAAGACAACTGAAAACCTCACTACTTCCTCTGGAAGCTATATCTTCCGTCCAAGTGCAAAAAAACTGATTGGTCAACATTTTTAGCTATAATATGGATACCCAGGTTATAGAACCACATTTGGCGTAGATAAAATGCCTGGAAAGTGCTTAACCGGGGCAAAGGCATTGTTTGTTGCAAATCCATAGTGATGTATACAGTATTGTTTGAGCTTCTAGCTTGCTCCCTGTCAACTCTCTGAACCTCAAAAGCTGCTTTGTAGTTTTCTACGTGTTCTTCATTTGAGTCTCCCTTATTACACGTGTCACTTTTTGGGTAGCCAAATGATAAATTGAATTTGTTGTTGAAGTGAAAGCGATATGTGCATTCTTTGACCTTAAATCGATCACTGGCATTTCCATCATTGCATTTATCATGATAAAGTTTGTGCATGATGGGAACTGACAACAGAGGAGATAAGTACTTCTTGTGAATGTTACAGTTTCTCGAATAGTGTGATTCTTCTGCAGGGAAAATAGATATGTGCTGAATAATGTAATCTTCAACATCTGCAGGTACCTACGTAATATACGGTGAGGTTCAAATTTGGCTGACGTCGTAATGTGTACGAGAGAGAAGCGCAAGAAACGTGCAATATGTATATTAGAAAGAGCGCCGATGGCGACGCGGCTAGCCGCAGCTGCGTTCGTTGCCTCGTCACTCGGGTTGCTAGGCAAAGAGGTACTTCCATCTCTTTCTAACACACGTATTGCATGCTTCTCTCTGTCGTACACATTATGACGTTAGTGGTAGATACATGGATTTCACTGAATGTGCTATATGTACTGACATTTTTTCATTTCATTTCAGTTTTTTATCAAATAATTGACATGAGAGTTTCATACTCATAGTATATAGATCTACTTATAGCCATTTAAATATTATCTGTTTCAGTTTAAGCTGAACTGTATTTTAATATTATATTACTCCTTTTTGGTAACCATAGTAATTTTGTATGTTTTCCAATAAATACAATGATTGGTGATGTGTTTTCAGTTTTAACCCATCATAAAAACCTCATAAAACCTAATATACGTTGATCCTAAAATATAGATATAAAAGGTCTTTTATGGATAACAGTTTGGAACATGTTTCCTGCCCGCACTGGAATAAACTTAAAACATGTCCAAGGCTAATTCATAATTTTTTTCCGTCCATATAGATGCTGGAAAGAACTCTAATCAAATCCAAGCGAATAACCAAAATTTCCGTATTATGTACCGCGGTTATATACGTAATATGGTTCAAGATGACACACGGGATGATGACGTCAGTTATTATTAAACAACAAATTTGAGTTGAGTACAAGTACTATAAACTCAAACACAAAAATAGATAATAGTGTACAGACAAAAGAAATATAACAATTTGACAATCTTAACACTACTGAAGTATACATATACAGAATGGGAACAATATGTTAAGCACTGCGGTGTCTATCGTAATTGTTTTTGAAACTGTTGACGGATTCCGAGTTCACTACATAAGATGGAAGACTGCTCCATGCATCGAAGACACGGTTTGAGATGAAGCGCTGACGAGTAGAGGTTCTAAAAGCTTCCTTCTGCAATTTGAAGTTATGGCCTCTGAGACTGTTCGTTGCCAGACGAAACAGATGCGACATGTCCACACCAAACAAATTATGCAGTGCTCTGAAAGTGATGATGAGATCTCCTCGTACTCTTCTATCAGCAAAAGCAGGCAGGTTATATAGCTCGAGGCGGTCTTCATAACTTGGCCTACGTGTGCCATATGGCATACGTGTTGCACGACGCTGAACGGCCTCTAATAAGCTGCTATCGCGAACAAGGTTTGAATCCCATACCGGACCAGCAAACTCCAGTAGGGGTCGTACGAAAGTTGTGTATAAAAAGGAGGAGGTACTAACGGTGCAACCGCTAAATGACCTTTCCATCATATATAGCAACCGCTTTGCCTTAGAGGTTATGTTCTGAATGTGCTCCGACCAGGTGAGCCGGCCATTAACTGTCAGACCAAGATCTGTGTGATGAAGAACAGTCTCTAAGGTATGTTTGCCAATCTTATATGTTAAGTTAGGATTATTCTTTCCCAGGTGGAGAACGTAGCATTTCGATAGATTTAAAGGCAGGAGCCAGAGTTCTGACCACTTTCTGATCAGCTTGAGGTCTTCTTGAAGCACAGATGAGTTCATGACAGTGTTATAGACTTTAGTATCATCTGCATAGATGGAACACATAGAATAAAGTCGGGTGGGAAGGTCGCTTGTATAAAGAAGAAAAAGTATTGGCCCTAGCACAGATCCTTGTGGAACTCCACTAGTAACACGATGACTAGAAGAATAGGCGTCTCCAACACGGACGGAGAAAGATCTGTCTAACAAAAAAGCTTCAATCCATAACAACAAATTTCCCCTGATTCCGAGATGTTCAAGATTGTGCAGGAGCCTTTTATGCGGAACTCGATCGAAAGCTCTGGAAAAATCCAGAAAAACCACGTCGACCGGTTCATTTGCGTCTAAAGATCTGGTCCAATTGTCAATGCAGTGTAACATGTTGGTGATAATTGATCTACCAGGAATAAAACCATGTTGGTTGCTAGGCAGCAGGTTGTTCTTGAACGCAAATGTCATAAGTTGTTCCTGGACGATCTTTTCGGCTATTTTCGCAGCTATAGGCACAAGACTGATAGGACGGTAGTTTTTCGCAGATGTTTTATCTCCTTTTTTGTATATAGGTGTCACAGATGCAGTACGCCAACAGGAAGGAAGGATGTGATTTTGAATCGAGGAGTTGAATATAATGCACAGGGGGTATGCGAGAGCTGAGGCACAGGACTTCATAACGGCAGAAGTAATCCCATCCTTTCCAGGGGACGAACAAGTTTTCAGTTTAGTAAGGTGCCTCTCAATGTCCTGAGGTTGAAAATCTATGCTACAGATGGTCGCTAGGCATCTATGAGGGCTGGATAAGTTCGGAAGAGTACCATCACCATCAGGTTCATTCACAAAGTCTTCACTGAAAGCATCGGCAAGAAGATTGGCAGATTTTTCGGCATCAGTATGTAGGTGGCCATTGGGATCACGGATTTGTGGGGAAGAAACCTTAGAGTTCAGGGTGGATCTCAAGTATCTAAACAACTTCTTCTTATCTTTCGATGATACAAGATTTTGCTCATAATTGCGCTTGGCGTTTTTCAAGTTCTTCGAAAGGATGTTAGAGAAAGATCGATGAGATACATAATCCTGTTGTAGTCTACTTCTTTGGAATCTTTGCCATAACGCTTTTTTATGCCTCAACATCCTTGAGAGGTTATGGTTAATCCAAGGCTTACTTGGGTGACTGAATATCTTCTTTGTGGTCGTATGCCTAGTGACTTCCAGTTGGATTCGACGAGAGAATATATCCCACATATCTTCAGTGCTACGTTGTGCAAGCAGGTTGGACCAGTTTATTTCAGACAATGCTCGATTGAGAGCACTGTAGTTTAATAGCTTCACAGTTTTGAAATGTCTACGTGATGGAGTTTGTACATAGAATTGAAGTGAGGTCAATAAGGTACAGTGATCCGACTTGCCAAAAGGAGGTAGGTAGTCTAGACTGGAAACAAAGTCAGGATCATTTACAAATATCAGGTCGAGAGTTCTGGGAGTATGGCCTTCTCTGAATCTCGTCGGATGATCTACGAGTTGGAGGATGTTCGACTTACGCATTAAATCAATATAAGGGGCAGAAGGAGAGTTGCATTCTGGTAATGTTGTCATGGGCCAGCTGATGTCACGTAAGTTGAAATCACCAGTTAACAGAATGTTTGAATTCTTGGTTAGAAGTTCTTCGATGAATTTACACAAATAAACATCACCAGCACAGGGACGCGGTCAGTAGATACAGGCTAATACAAAACTGAAGTTTGGCCGTGTTAGTTCCAAAAAGAGACTGTCGATACCATCGAAGCTCTTGGAGGTAGTAGATATTGTGAAATTGTCAGCGAATTCGGTACGTACATAAACACAGACCCCACAATACCCCGGCGTGCGAGGGGAATCTTCCCTATACAAACAGTAACCAGGCAAATTAACAACATAGTCAGGTATATTAGGGCTGAGCCAGGTTTCTGTCAGACAAAGAAACGAAGGTTTGGTTCCATCAACAAATGCTTGCACTTCGAGAAGTTTAGATACCAGTGACTGAATGTTTGTGTAGCACACCGACACCTCGGTTAGCAGTTTTTTGATACAGAAGATTGCTGTGCAACAATATTGACAATGGATGGTCTACCCTTGACATATTTAATCGTGATATTGCGTTCTCCAGCCGTTAGCCTTCGTTTCAACTCCTCACGTAGTTGCTGCAGCTCATGCATTTGTGACGGTGTTTTGTCGTCCAAAATTTTAACGGAGTTACTCGAATCGCTTGAACGCGTTGGTTTTAACCGCGGTTTGTTTCAAGTTGTTTATTTTAGAAAAGCGCGTATATAATTTCTGATTATTTTTATTATCATTTAATAATCGGTGCTTTTTCGTCTACAAAGGGGTATGGAAAGTTGAAAAAAAAGAAACCTTTCATAATATTAATGGGAGGTGGGAGGAATGTTTTTTTTTCAGAAAAAAATGTTTTCTGATGGAACCATGGCTTTGTAGCTAACTTTCAATTATCTAAACTTTTCCGCATGTCAAAGAAAATATTTATTGATTTAGCAGAAATGATGAAAAAAGATATTAACAAAACCGTATACACTTTGTTAATCGTAGGAACTAGATTTAAAGTGTCCCCAACAACAGTAATGATTATAACTAATAAGGTGCTCTCTTATGCTAAAACTGAAGTCAGCCTGTATCAAGTTTCCCAAAAATGAAGCTGAAGTACAATAAAAATATCCAATACCCGGTAAAATTCTAACTTGTCACATGTCAAATAATAACCAGAAATATAAAACTACTGAGTTGGCTAAATACCACAATTTTGCGGTGATAACTATGACATATAACAGCTGATTCATGAGGTCACGGATCTTATAACCATTGACGTCATGGGTAAGACGTCAATGCTTATAACCAAACTGCTTGAACGGATCGGTAAGTACCAATCCAAAATGGTAAATACCATTTTCATTTGGTTATCCGCTTGAATTTGATTCTCGTGGATTTGATTAAGATGTTAACTTAGTACAAGCTGTCGTACATTTGTTGTGAACTTGTTTTTTAACTATGCAGTCTTGTGTTGACTAAACGTCAGCGATAATATCGACACTAAAAACTACCTAGTCTGCAAGATGACTTTTTGTTGACGTTTTTTATATAATACCCCTGCCGTTTCCACCATAGCATTTGTATAAATAAGATTTACGCCGGCTCCACACGTTGGCCCCATCGCCACTCGCCCAACGTGTGTATCTAGAAAATAGCGTTGGCCCCAACGTTGGAGCGACCGTTGGTAGTTGGCTGTCGATTGTCGGTTTTATTCAAAGGAATCTGCGCCAACGTTGGCGATCCGTCCACATATTGGCTCACTGGCTCCGTCTTGTAACACGCGTCGAGTGCGTATGTGGAGATATGTCATCAACAAAATCGCTACCCGCGTGGACAAACGAAAAAGTTGTAGAATTTTTAGAGTTATACCAGGCGCATCCAATAATATGGAACGCCTCTCGCAAGGACCATAAAAATAAAAATTTGGTAGCCGATGCATGGCGCAATATTCAACAGAATATGAAAATGATTTATTCTATTGAGGAATTAAAAAAGAAAGAGAAACGCTCATTGATGAGCACATATCGCCTATATCGAAAGAAAATTTTGGACTCTACTCGTTCTGGGTCATCGGTGGATGATATTTTTAAACCGAATTGGTTCGCCTATGATCTAATGGACAGCTTTCTTGCTCCGATTTATGATAAAACAGATACATACGCGATTAATACAGAGGTAAGTTAAACATCAATTAATTATTACTTTTACTTATTTACACATTCATAAACAACATTAAATTATGACAAATTGCTTTGGTACATAGTTTATTCAATGTGAGTAAAGGTATGATGCGAATTCATTTCTTATTTCTCTTGCATTTTCGGTTGCTCTTATTGGTATTTGATCTAAGGGCCTTAATTGTTGCTCTTGTAAAATATTATACATGTTACCCTCTGGCATATACATCCGTCGAGAGTGCTCGGTGTTTTTTAAAAAATTATGTAGTACAACGCAAGTCAATAGATGCTTTTTCGGGTTCTAGCAGCATATTGGTTTTCAACACTCGAAACACCGATGTCATTATTCCAAATGCACATTCAATCACAACACGAGCGCGTGAAAGTCGACTATTGGATTTTCTATTTGCTGAGCCAGCTGCCGGTGTGCCAGAAAACGGTTTCATGATTCTTCTAGATAATCCAAAAGCTCCATCTGCCACAAAATCGTAGGGCACAGGAAGATGTCGGTCAGGTATAGAGGAGTGTCTTCCGGAAAATTGGAATTGGAACCATATATTTTGTTATAAAGTATGCTATCATTAAAAACTCCAGCGTCATTCATTCGTCCATGTGTTCCTGCGTCGGCAAATAAAAAGTTGTATTCACTATCAGCTACTGCTAGTAATATTATACTGAAATTGTGTTTATAGTTATAGAACTCTGATCCACTATTAATAGGTGACTCTATTTTTATGTGTTTGCCATCTATAGCACCCAAACAATGTGGAAATTGCCATTTTGTTTCAAAGCCTCTAGCAACTACAAGCCATCCCTGATCATTTTGAGGCATCTGAAACAGAAAAAAACATATGAAAATTAACCTGTGGTGTTTTGATTTTAGAGTATGAAGTTTCCTGACGAGGACAGCATTCAAAATAATTTGTCAGCTGGCGAACCATCAGTTAAAAAACGCAGAGAATCTGAAATTTATGAAGTACGAGCTCAAATGAAGACAGCTGTAAATGTCCTCAAAAATATCTCAGATCGACCGCGCGTTGAAGTGGATGAGGTAGATGGTAGATTTATATTGTCAATTACTGGTCAAAAAGACTAAAAAAATTTAATGAGCCACAAAGGGAGATAATAATGCTTGATATAGACGAACTAATTTTTCGGAGGCGAAAGGACTCTTACTTAAATATCAGTAGCCCTTCTAACTGCAGCACATACTCGTACGCAAGATGTACACCGGGTTCCTTGGCACCTACACCATCCCCTTCATCTCAGGTTTTACAAAGCACTGTATACCAGATTGCTAATGATTCTGGTGATTATACAATTGTACATCCACATTATAGCCAAGCAGAATATGTGACAGATCCTTCTACCTCCTCCACTTCTACTCAAAAGGTGGCAATTATATCAAATGACATTGTCTCACAGGCACTTACTCTCTCTCCCATACAAAACAAGAATTAAGTGCTAATGAAAGATTTCATTTTACTTTATAGTTTTTTTTTCAGTAAATGTGTTTTTGCTTTTTAATTATCGTTTTATTTTGAACATAATATATAAAAAATACTGACCTTTACAAAAGAACGCAATGCCTCACATAGCGCTTTACAGACTTCGGACACGATCAGTGATATAACTTGTGGGGAAATCTTGAATAAGTAATGAAGACTTTTGAATGAATCTCCAGTTGCTGAAAATCTAAGTGTCAGAGCAAGGCGTACTTTAGCTGGTATCGATTCTCTGAATACCGTATCTTGTTTTTTTATTCTTGGTCCAATCAACTGTAGCAGGTATTCGAAGTCTATTGAAGACATACGAAAAAAGTTATCACACTGTCCTGAGGGCTCTTGATTCAAATTATTTAGCAGTCGAGTTCCATCGTAACTGAAAAATAAAATGTAGAGATAAGATAAGATAAGGATGTCTATCATAGGGATCTTGGAAAACAAAAGAGATACGAAGATGGTTAAATCAGAGAAATACTGCGCATTTTCAAGCCTAACAATATGCCGTTCAGAAAGCTTTAAAATTCCGAGTTGTTCCGCAGCTATGCCTAAAAAATGCTATTTAATACAGTGCATACTTTTTTACTCGTCATATAAAAAAATAAAGTTGATGATGGTTTCTCCGAAACGAAACGTCGTGCGGAAAATCTCTCAACGCTGTTTTGTAGAGCTTAAAAAGTAGCCATAAGAAAGTGTCTTTTGTTTTTCCATATCCCTTTAAATAACGACAGAAAAAAATAAAAACGAAATCGGCAAATTTCGGTTTTTTAGGCATACCTCCGGAACAACTCGGAATTTTAAAACTTTCTAAACGGCATATTGTTAGGCTTGAAAATGCGCAGCTTTTTTCTAATTTAACCATCTTCGTATCTCTTTTGTTTTCCAAGATCCCTATGATAGACATCCTTATCTTGGACACACTGTATACACATTATTAGATAATTTAATATTAAATTGTCTTGTAAAAAGCTGCTAGAATGGAGTGTATGGTCTGTACTTACTGGTACCGTGTTTTATCATGCGTTGTCATCCACCATCTCCTTTGACGTGGCTTTTTCTTTTTTTCAATAACAAATATAAATTATACGCACTCATCAGTACTATAAAAGCGCTTAGAGCAATTTCGGTTTCGGTGTCGGACATCTTCACATTGGCTCTGACAGAAAGGAACTAGTATAATAGCCAACGTGTGGACACTTCATCAACTTAACCGACCAACGTTGGGGCCAACGTGTGGAGCCGGCCTTACGCCTACTTATGGTTTCGTATAGTAATCGCACAGCTTAGATTTAGAAAATCAGCTATAATCAAATCCAAGCGAATAACCAAAATTTCTGTGTTATGTGCCTCGGTTATAATATGGTTCAAGATGACACATGGGTTGATGACGTCAGTTACACGAATCGCTTGAACGCGTTGGTTTTAACCGCGGTTTTGTTGCAAGTTGTTTATTTTAGAAAAGCGCGTATATAATCTCTGATTATTTTTATTATCACTTAATAATCTGTGCTTTTTCGTCTACAACTGTATATGGAAAGTTTAAATAAGAAACCTTTCATAATATTCATGGGAGACATGTTTTTTTCAGATTTTTTTTAATGATGGATGAATGATGGCTTTGTAGCTATGATAACTTTCAATTCTGTAAATTTTTCTTCATGTCAAAGAAAACATTTATTGATTCAGCAGAAATGATGAAAAAAGAAATTAGCAAAACCGTATACAGGTGGATATCATCTAGTGAGTTTATTTGGCCATATTTTAATATTCTTGTGGTATATGGCTACACAGGATACTTTGTTAAGCATAGGAACTACATTTAAAGTGTCCCCAACAACCGTAATGAGTATAACTAATAAGGTGCTCCACTTTATGGTAAAACTGAAGTCAGTCTGTATCATTTTTTTCAAAAATGAAGCTGAACTACAATAACAATATCCAATACCCGGCAAAATTCTAACTTGTCACATTTCAAATAATAACCAGAAATATAAAACTACTCTTGAGTTGGGTAAATACCACAATTTTGCGGTGATAACTATGACATATAACAGCTGATTCGTGACGTCACGGATCTTATAACCAAACTGATAACTACACTCGCTTGAACGGATTGGTAAATACCACCGACGATATATAGTCTTTATAGTCGGTGGTAAATACCAACCCAAAATGGTAAATACCATTTCCATTTGGTTATCCGCTTGAATTTGATTTGTGAAACACATGTCAGTGTCAAAAATAACCGCCATTTCGGCGGAGAACGTTGAATGTAAATTCCCCCAGGACAACGATGAAAGACGTGTTCCGTAATGAATAGTCCTAGGCGGCGTTGCAGTGTACCATCAGTATACAGGGTGACTTTGAAGTTGAGTCATTAATTTTCAGATAATGATTGTAGAAGGAAGATAAACCAAAATATGTGTGTAAAAATTAAAAAAAATTAAAAAAAATTTTTTACCTTGTTTTATAAAGTATCCTCCCGACAAGTATTTCAGTGCGGACCTGTATTTGATCGTGAGGTCCCCTGTGAGGTCTTAAGTCACCTGATTCACGAGCCCGTTGTACTACATTAACAAAGGCACGAGGGGTTGGTTGCACTCGATTGGGAAACCGATCCGCATAAACATGTGCCATTTTTTATTTCGTTTGAGCCACGCAACAGATACCACTATTCACTGACACTGACTGTATACAAATGAATGAAATAATTGTAAAAAGCATCGTTCCAAATTCTTTCGCTTTTTTGTTTCCGATGCGATGAACCGATACGGCGGATTATATCCGTTGTCGCCAAACACGACCACATAATATTATTATTGAGACAGGGCGGTACTCAAACTTCCAAAGGGCTATAACTTTGTTACTTTAATTTTACCAGGAAAATGGTAAAGGAAAAAAACATTTCTTTTGATCAGATCTACTCACTGTTAAAATAAATGACTCAACTTCGAAGTCACCCTGTATATGCTTTATGTGTACCATGCTCCACGCTATTAGCCACAGATATGGGTTGCAATCGTAAAAACGAAGCAACGGAATATTGATGATTATTTATTTACGAATAAGCTTCAGAATAAATTTGTAATGGTGGAGGGCTATCAGTATTTAGAATAAATATAAAAATGAAGGAACCAGATAAAAACATCTCTTTACCGCTTCACATTTTACAGCAGTAACATTTCTCTAAATTGATGCTATGAGGGTACCATAGAATTGGCTCCCACATTTCATTTTGAGAGCACACGAAGGTTTTAATGGAATTTACAAGAAACATTATTATTCTTTTTCACATAAGTCATCATAGGAGGGTCCGGTGCTTGAAATATGATGACATTTTCGCAACTTTGATCATCAATGTCTGTAGCCTAGCGACGCGAGGCGTGCATACCCACAATCACGCGTTTTTATTGCACTTTTGGTCAGCGGTTCAAATCCCTTCCGTACCCGACAATTTTTTCTTTTTTATCTCTTGAATTATTTTATTCTGACCTATTTCAAAATCAACTCGTATGAATACTTATTAGTTCATAGCATTTGATGTTTAGATTTTTTTGAAGAAATTGGTACAATTCTTAGCATTGTTTCGATAGTTCCTCCTGATCTCCAGGAAAGTAGCCAGCGCAGCGCAAGCATCTGAAAAACTTCAACGGTGTCGTCATTGTTTAACGTGCAGTTCCCACTTCTTCAGTCTTATCTGTTTTGTGGTTAGTTCTATAAAGAACTACACCTCTAAGATACTCTGTTGTCTGTAGTTCGCGTTCACATATGTTTTATGCTGTAACTTTGACAATTTTCTTTGACATTTGTGAACTGTGATATGAAAATATGACCTTCCATCTCCTTGCTGTCATGTTTACAAATATTTTATTTAGTTTATAATTCAGCATTGCCAGCCAGTGTTTTGCGTAACACTACAAAGTGTAAGTGGGTATTTATTTCTCTGATAATCTCTCACCATATTGTCCTGCATGACAATTCTTAAGTACATAGAAGCCCAGAAAATCACATTTCTGAAGAGCCCCAACCTTGCAATCGACCATGCTTAAATTATTACAGCTGCTTATTTATTGCTTTACCCAAGTTAAGCATTGTAGTCTTATTTAATCTAAAAATCATAATAGTTTGTCATTATTAACAGCGACAAAATCATGAAGGTAGTTGCATTGATAAGTGGTGGTAAGGACAGTACTTTCAACATGATGCAGTGCATTGCTGCTGGACATCAGATCGTAGCTCTAGCCAACCTCATTCCTCATAGTAAAAAGGAAATCGACAGTTTCATGTATCAAAGTGTTGGCCATGAGGCCATTGATCTCATTGCTGCAGCCATGGATTTGCCCTTGTATAAAAAAGAAACCTTCGGTAAGTAAGTGATATAGATATACTTATATTTCTGATAAATTCCTCATGTTTAATAATATAAAGAATTATGATTCTTTATTTCCTTGATAGGATTGAATTGGTCACCTCTTACATGGAGGACCACTGCTGTTTAATTTATGTCAGTGATTTTCCCAGTCATATCTCAGAGGAACATATAACCATATTTGCAGATGATCCACTATGACTATATCTGCAAAAAGTGTAAATCACCTTCACTTCAAAATTCAAAGTGTATTGGATAAAGTCTCTGCTTGGTGTCAAAGAATTCAGTTAATTTTAAATTGTAATAAAAATGTTGCTATACATTTTAACATTCAATGTACAATTGGCTTAGACCTAGATATGTATGATCTTATTTTATCACATTCTTGTAGATTACTTGGTACATATTATTTTTATTGTAAACTGAATTTTAAAAGCTCTTATGAATGCATATTATGTGCTGGCTTATAGCCATATGTCTTATGACATTAATAGAGAATTTGCTGCCCTAAAAAGAATGATCAGATTAATTTTCGGATTGAAGCCACTTGACTCCTGCAGAGAAATTGTCAAATCGCAAGAAATTCATAATTTACACTGTTCCCAAATATTAATGCTCATCACAATTATAATACTAGAAATCAGAATTTAAAAATCATCCATACACATAACACAACACATTTAAAAAAAAACCCTACTATAACTGCATCAAATTATAAATAAATACCAGTTGAAATACAGCAAATCAGTAATATAATAAAGGCGGAATTGGACATTTATGTGAATTGTTATAATAGTTATATTTATATTGATTTTTATTTATAATGTTATATATTATTTATATATATATTTTTTTTTCACATCATGTACTATTCTGTATCTAAAAGGTTAACAATGATAATCTATTACTCAAAATGGTATATGTTTAATCATCCAATATAGGAGCAATATGGACAAATGAAGAATTAAGACATTTAGAACCACAAGTTCAAATATTTTCACATATGTTACAAAAAAACATTAGAAGAAACTCCAACATTTAGATTTAAATTACTTTTTTATATTGCTTATATATTTAATGATTTTTCATGGTATTATTTATTAATGCAAACAAAATGAACACCATTTTGTGTAGTTACATACCATCAGTGATTAATAACTACCAGTAATTCAAAATGTGTAACAGTATAACTATAAAAGAATCAAAATTGTTATTTCGTGCATAAAGGTTTTTGACAGCAATTGGAAAGAATTTAATGATTTCAGGTGAGTGACACTTAATCAAAATGCTTCAAACAATGCAAGACAAAATCACAATTCAATGACCAGAGACGTAATGATAGAAAAATATCAATTTTTGTCGCACTGCTACAAAACTGATTGCTACCAAGTTATGCTGATCTAACTACTGTTTGTTACACAGTATTGCAGTATTACCAACATGTTCTCATTTAATACTAATTTTGATTGCACTAAGAAATTAAGAGGTGTTTTGGTAGATTAAATTGTAACTTATTTCGAATGCATCTGTGGAAAGTTGTAGTGAAAATAATAATTTTCATTTCAAAATCTACAAAACCAATGTTGATCCTAATTTTACATTACTGCTATATATTATACAAAATGCTTTTTGTGTGCCACACTTTATAAAGGTGTATTGCTAGATAAATTACAAGTAGATATGTTGTGTACATTGTACCTAAACTTGTTTTTAATGGGATATTTCATTATTTTCTCTTAGTCTGTGTGTTGTGTTTAATCAAAAATCAAATACAGCACAATGTTATCTAAGCTAACATTTTTTAATGGAAATTTTGATATAACCTTCTTTATAAAAAAACTGCTTTAAATTAGTGAGCATTTATAAACTGCTGATCTACATGGGTGTATATTCCTACAGTATTTGGATTTTCAGTGTCAACTAAAAAAAAATAGTTTATTTTATTTACGTATTCATTATGTCACAAGACTATATATAATATTTGATTCATATTTGAGATGGTCAGATATTTTGATTTTGATAGTCTTTTTTATTACCAGGACAAAATGTGTGTACCATTAGCTAAATAAATTCGAGGGTGCTTTATTAGAAATAATGTCTTCAGTTCCATCTGTCTTCATACGAATTGTATATACTGAGGGCTTACAAACTTACAAACAAGCACATTTTTTATAGCAGGTTATATTTCTTATTGTAAAGTAGTAACAAAAAAGTGGAAAGTAGAAAAAGAAGAGTAAAGAAAAACAAAAACTGCCAGAGGAAGTGACAAAAACGTACATGACCTTGGAAAAATTAAGATTCATTAACATTACAATAATGTAATTATATAAAAATATTATATGATGTGATTTATGACTTTTGCATCCAAGAATCGTTTTTTACATAGTTGCAGAAATGTATAATTGACATTCACATGATACACTTACCAAGGTAGATAATAGAACCACTGGAAAATGGATATCTGCCGACACTACGTGAGCAACTGACGAGTTTCTGCTTTCAGTTTGCCAAATCGCGCTAGTTTCAAACTATCATTTCTTGATTTTCTACGCAATGATCAAGGTCAAATCGCATTATTCTCAAATCTATACGAAAATAAGCAATTTGAATTGCGTCAGGTGAGGGTGACACAATTTTCAGATACCATTAGAAACTTGTTTTTTATGCAGTTATATAAATTGTTTGTATCTTTTTCCATGAAAATATGTTATAATGCGTATGTAGCTACACAAAGGGTATTCTTATATTGTTATATCAGTTATACGCACAGTGATCTGTTGATACTTGTAGTGTGAAGTCGGGAATGGACCACGCCAGCGGAGTATACATATTGTTAATTTTCAAGTGTCCCTTATTGTTAATGGTTAATTCTGCAAATAAAGTATGATACTTTATAGTATTTGGATGGTTTATTTCCACAATTTGTCGTTTTCCTCCAGATTTTTTTTTGCGGAACCTAGTTCAGACGTTTACACTTGTCTTCAGACATGAATATAACTATGCACTATTGCACAAGATGTTAAAGGATTTGGCCAAACTTCTTAGTAAAGTTTAGATTAAAACCCTGTATATTTCAACTTACAGGAATATCCAATATAAAAGGAAAGATCTATGAACCTACAGAAAATGATGAAGTCGAAGATTTATACATATTATTAGAACAAGTCAAAAGTGAAATGGATATTGAAGGTGTATCAGTTGGTGCTATTTTTTCCGATTACCAAAGAGTTCGAGTTGAAAATGTGTAAGTTTCAACTGAAACATAAAAAATCAATATATTTCTGATAAAACTTCGAGTATCGATTATAGTAATTGGCAAGATAAAGGAGGTACAGTGAATTTATGAAACTTTGAGCTACTTAAAATTTATTGAATTTGCACCAGAATAAATCAACAAGTAGCCTACATTAAAGCTTGAATGCAAAAATGAAGTTTGGGAGTATTCTAAATATCTTATTTAGTTTCTCGCCAATAGCTTGATTTCCAAAAATATTGTAATGTTACCCCTACTGGATATTGTTTCTTAAAGTGAGTGGTGCATATTACAATGTAAATACCATATCCAGAATATCCAAAACTGTGCTGGATCTTGGATTTTGCTCAATTTGCCTTCAAACCATTACATTTTCTGTCGTCAAACTCATTGAGACTACTGCTTAAATCAAATTCGGCTTAGGGGTGATGCCATTGATATTTGATTCAATGATTTCAGATCACAGCTGCCTTGAATTAATGTGCATATTTTGTCACATTTCTAGTTGCATTCGTCTAGGACTAACGCCCTTAGCCTACCTATGGCAGAGAGACCAAGAAGAACTGCTCGATGAAATGATCAGATGCGAGGTAGATGCAATTCTGATAAAAGTGGCCAGCCTTGGTCTTGAGATAAAACATTTAGGCAGATCTTTGAGTCTGATGCAGCCTCATCTCTTAGCCATGCACGAGAAGTACGGATTGAACGTCTGCGGTGAAGGAGGCGAATACGAGTCACTAACTTTAGACTGTCCATTGTTTGTGAGTAGATTAGTAGTGTAAGTAGATTTTTTTTGCGTAGTATATTGTAACTTTATTGTATTTATAGGTGTTGCAATACTAACTCTTGTGCTAGCTGTGAAGTAGGTGCTGCAAGTCCGCTTAGAAAATTTCAAGTAGTATTTCTTCTCACTAAGTACTAAACTAAACCTGGGACGGTATACGACATATGTGACACATATAAGCAATGTAAATGTAAATTCTGAAAAGGAGACTATAACGTCCCCGATTTTGTTTGAATTTAATTTATTACTGTGTTATTCTGCTGTTTAAAAAAGTGTAGCGGAATTGAATACTGTAAATGCTGACTAATCACTGTAGTATGAAAATTGTTAGATAGATTGATATAGATCATACAGCTAAAATGTATTTTCGAGAGAACATCTTGATCACATTTTCCTTAAAATTTAGAGATCTGTAAATTAAGTGATGAGACTGATTTTTTAAATTCTTATACTCAAATATAATTACAATTTTATATTGTTACCATCAAAAAATTTTTCTTCTGAAGCCACACAGGGCTGGGGACGGTTCTTCCACTTATAGCAGTGATGGAACTCCGATGCTAGAATAGCATACAGCCGTTTGAATGTCTTCAACTGTCCCAAACTGAGCTCCCTTGGGGTAAAGAGAAAAAAGTCACAAGAATTCAAGTCAGGCAAATAAGGAGGCTGAGGATTCACAGAAATGTTTTTATTGGCCAAGAACTCGTTTATTGACATTGCTGTGTGACAAGGAGCATTGTTGTGATGCAACACCCAGTTGATCTTGATCTGATGAATGGTGGTGTGAGTCAAATTTAACTATTCCCTATTCTGACTGTCAACGCGTAAGATCCCGAATTATGTCGATACGTTTATCGGCACTTGAAGATGAAGGGCTTCCACTTCATCTTCTGATCTCCGTAGACCTGTTTAGCAAGAGAGTCTGTTGCATTGTGCCCAAGTCTGAAGCAAAACCTGATAGCACACCGTTGCTATAAATTGATGTCATTCATTTTTTGAACAGAATAGGAAAAACTGTTTCACCAAAAAAAAAATCGCAACGGACAACCAAATGACTTGAGCGAGTTCAAACTTGTACTGAAGGTGGATCACATGTTCCCCTGTCTGCCCCCCCAAGCCCGGCGTCAAGTGTTTCCAGATCGAACGCTACGCTATCAGTATCATCACTTAATTTACAGACCTCGTATCTTACAATTTGGCCAAGTGCCGAACCATATGTGAATGCTGCGATCTTTTTTGTCGCTTCAACCTAGCATATCATACCAAGTTTGCAGCAACGTCGGTTCCAATGCGTTGGCCCCATGTCTGAACGCGACATGAGACATTATCTCCTGATTGTTTCCATATAACATTGTTTTTATTGATTTGTTTCAATATTCCAGAAAGGACTCGGAAGTTGTCATTCACTCAAATGATCCTATAGCTCCAGTAGGTTACCTAATATTCAAAAAGTTAGAGTTAGAAACGAAATTGCCACCGTTAGATTTAATGGATCGTCTTGCCGGGCTACCGTTAAAAGATAGTGATGGTTATGTGACAGACCATGGTGAGGAAGCATACGAATTCAATGATAACGAAGCAGGTGAGAAAAGTAATACCGTAAATGGCTAGATTGCCCAATGAACAAGATATTTGCGTATTGAGATAACATTTCATAACCAATTATGACATTGCAATATTGCTAGAAATGTTGCGCCAAAGAAACTACAACTGATTTTCATCCCTTTCAGACTCCTAGTCGATTGTGGTAGCAGTTTAGGACTTTTCTGATTTTTAGATGAACAAGATGAACGTTCTGAAAAATGCAACGTAGAGATGTGTTGCACGCCACCAAATATTGTTCAACAGGCTACTTCAGGGAAAAGTAAACAGGGATGGTTGTGGATTGGTGGGGTACAAGGAAAGTCTTCCAAGCCTTTGGAGGCGATGCAAGAAGCCACAGATATTTTAAAGTGTAGGTATGCATTGAAGCTTTACACAGCTTTCCAACACAATTTGTATGGGACAGCTATAGGAATTTATAAAAGTGTTCTGAACCATCACTGGTCGGAAGTAGAGCGGCAGCCCATCATTGTTGTAAATTACATTATAGTTTGAATCACTGACTTTTTGTTCGCTGGATGATATTGCTTGTTCAAATAATCTCCTGGCATCACACTTCAGGTTGGACCTATATTTGATGAGTAGTGATTATACTACAAGAAACTCTCTTATTTTGGTTAATTTATGTAATCATAAAATATTTAAAGAAAATCAAGATAGCAAATGATAAACATTTTGATCACCATCGCCACTGGCAAGTGATCAGAGCCCCTCAGCAGCGGAATATTGACGATTCAGAAGACCTTTATAAATTAGCAGTACAGGGTGGGCAACTAAGAATGCGAGGTACTGTATCTGGGAACCTATCCATCGTAGAGGCTTGAGGCAAAAAGTTATTACCAAAACGGCCAAGAGAAGAATCCGGCAAATATTTTCAAGTTTCTGAAATGGCCGCTAGGTGGCGTAATCATAAATCTAAAAAAGTGATGTTTCTGTGAATTCCTCTTCCGGTGGATTGGAAGAGGAAGTCTGTTTCCATGGCCTTCGCGATCACCAGACATAACTTGTTTTGATTTTTATTTATGGGGACAATTAAAGGACATCGTGCTTCAGACTCGACCTACAACCAGAGAATAAATGAAAAACCGGATTTGTAATGCAATACGTAACATACCGAGAGCCGAAATTGAAGCTGCAGTTTTGTCTATCCCTGAAAGGCTTTAGAAATAGAGCGTGATGGACAGCACTTCGAGCATTTACGGGGGCTTTAAAAAGCTTTCTTTTATTAAATCGGTTCTTTTTAGGGCCTCAACTTAATAATAAAAAGCAAGTACAGAACAATTAGTTCTTTGGACTAAATTTAAGGTTAGGAACAAGATATCGAGATGAGGTTTTCGAGAGCTTGTTTATACATCATTTTTTCAAAAAAAATCATACCAATGCTAATTTTTTGAGAAAATTAACCATTTCTGTGGGAATGTTGAAAAAAGTCCTCTAGCGGCTACATGTGAAACTAACAAAACTTAAAATATTACAACATTTGTAGCCTAAAAATAGCTCTTTCCAACTAGCCTAAGTTTCTTAAAATCGGCTCAGCTGTTTTGAAGATTCAGAATGTTTTTTTACGGAAACCTTTGAATACCCCCGTCCACTTTATTTTTAGAGATACAGCAAAATTGTCAAACAAAAAAAGTTCACATTATGCTCGACTTTATGACGATAGTACCTCCATCTCTCTTGTACATCTCCCTGGTCTGGTGGCCTTGCATTAGATCTGAGACAACTAAGGCCAAACTCGATAAAATTCAGTGTTTGGCCTGTATTAGTATTACAAGCGCAGTGCGAACAACGCCATTGAGTGCAATGGAAGCTCTGTTGGATCTCCCACCGTTGGATCTGGTGATCCGCGGTGAAGCGAGAGTAGTCGCTCGTCGACTGTGGAGTCAGGGCAGCTGGGCTTTCTTGAATCCTGTCAAGGGGCATACTGCCGTCTTAGTGGAATTGCAAAGGGAGGACCCCGTTCTTCTAAGCAGGGGTGATGGTATTACCCCTATATATCGCTTCAACCGCAAGTTTATTGTGGAGTATCCAACGAGGGAGGAGTGTGGCGCCGGTAGCCAGAGACTCCAGAGTGAGCGGGCAGGTCTGGTACATGGACGGCTCGGTCACCGAAGATGGCTCAGGTGCTGGGGTCTCTGAGCCTAGAACTAGGCTATCTCTGCCTCTCGGTGGATACACCACTATTTTCCAGGCGGAAATTTTTACGATTCTGGCTTGTGTATCTCACATTCTGGAGGAGGGTGGGTCTAGGAGAAGAATAACAATCTTATCGGACAGCCAGGCTGCAATGAAAGGACTAAGTGCCTGTAAGATTACTTCGAGTCTTGTATTGCAATGCAGGGAGACTCTGGATTGTCTCGCAGCGAGGCATCCGGTATCGTTAATGAGGGTGCCGGGGCACGCTGGGATAAGGGGCAATGAGACGGCGGACAATCTGGCGAAGACAGGATCAGCCAGCAAGCTCGTTGGTCCTGAGCCAGCTCTAGGAGTGACCGCGCATAGAGCTAGGAGGAAAATGGAGACGTGGGTTGCAAGACAGAAATGGAGAAGTATCTCCAGACATCTCCGCCAGGCACGGGAACTCATTGATGGGTCCACTGGTAAGGATGGACGTTTCTGCTTATCTCTGGATAGAGCCAACCTAAAGTTGCTGGTGGGACTATTGCCTGGCCATAACACGTTAAAGCGCCACCTGCACGCGATCGGGGTGGCTGAGGATCCCTTGTGTGAACGCTGGGGGGGTAGAGGAAGAGACCTCGGCGCAAGTTTTGTGTCGCTGTGAAGCTCTGAGCTACTATAGGCAGACTATCCTGGGGTCCATTACTTTGGACCCTCAGAACGTCAAGGAGCTTGGACTCGAGCCGATTCTCAACTTCTCTAAAAGGGCGAGGCTTGTGATCTAAGGAATGTAGAGGTGCATAAGGGCCTGCTTAAGCGGCCTATGCACTGGCTCCTTATGGTGGCCGGAATGCCTCTAATTTCAAGATTCATTCATTCATTCATACTCGACTTTTTTATATACAAGATTGCAGTTACGCCCCCTAGCGGCCGTTTCAGAAACTTGAAAATATTTTCCAGGTTTTTCTCTTGGCCGTTTTAGCAAGAACTTTTTTGCCGCAAGTCTCCACGATGGATAGATTTCCAGATACAGTATCTCACATTCTTAGTTGGCCACCCTGTACATAAAGCATTACCTTAAGCGCCCTGCATTTTCACTTTTCAATTTTTTTAATTTGTAGGTGAATTGGATGAATATCACCATACTGTAAAAGATGTCTGTTCAGTGACAATGTTCATAAGCGATATGTCTCAGTATGCAGATCTGAACAAAATATATGTGGATACATTCAACCATGCCAATCCGCCTTCTAGAGCTTGTGTTCAGGTTCCATTTGACAAAGATTGTCCTGTTAGGATAGAAGCTCTATCATGGAAACAAACTGAGAGCTCAGGGGATACTCCCTATGAAAGGTAATAATGCAGTCATTTCCGAATTGAAATATCACATGTTAAATGTATTATACTTTCTATTTCTATTATTTATTTTTATTATCTGCACATTATTAAGCATTTCTAATTCATAGGCGAGACATTTTTCCAAACACATGAAATAACGTCAACCTAGTTTGAAGGCGATAGTTGTTTTTTTTTGAAATAGTGGATTGCAATATACGTATTCTGATTTGGGTCGCATTTTGACTAAAGTGCTTGTCTTATCGGGACGCCATGGCATCGTAGCGAAACTAACCTATTGCGATATTACCGCAGCTCAGCGACGTGGCGACTGTTAGATGGCGTCGCGAAATGTCGGCTACTTGTCGTCACGTCCCTTCGTTGCCATATACTTCAGTAGGTCAGCTTCAATAGATATCACATGAGAATAGCAAAAATTAGTTTTAATTTGATGATTCCAGAAGCACAATACATGTTCAAAGCAGGTCCCATTGGGCTCCTGCAAATATCGGTCCTTACAGTCAAAGCATAATGGTGCGTCACACCATCTTACTAGCTGGTCAAATAGGGCTGGTCCCAGGCTCCATGGAAATGGTCAAAGGAGGAATTAAATCCGAATGTCAATTGACCTTGAAGCATGTTACTAGGCTACTGAAAGCAAACAATCCCAATTTTAATTTGAGAAATGTTGTGCAGGTGAGATACATACACATTATACAGGGTGGCCCATAAGAACATGCTTTTTCAAAGTTATTGTTAGCTACATTATTGGCAATTATGCATGTGAGCTAATATTCATACATACACGGTTTGTTACATCTAGAGTATGGTTTAAACGACAATAGGTAGCATCTCAATGTTAATTTGGTCAATATATGGATTAAGTGATGTGAAAAGACTGTTTATATGTTTAAGCCGCGCGACAATTGGTGTAAACGAAGGAAAGTATGTCGCCCACCCACAAACGTTGAAGAAAGTATAATATGCGATCGAGATTAGAAACCTGTCGTACTCGCGAGGGACGTCATTTGGATAATCTTTCGTGCGTTTTTACTGAATGTCCATAACTAACATCATACCGATATTTTTTGTTTAGTTGTGTAAAAAGCTCGTTCCTATGAGCTACCATTTCTGATTTCTCTGGTAGGATGAGAGACATTTTATTCTTTTCTATCAAAGTGGTCAAACTTCGTATTCAGTGACATTGTAATATTCGGTGCCTAAAAATGTGGGTCACAGCCTTCTTTGGGCTTCTAAAAAAAGCCTAACACATCGGATTCATATAACATACCTGAACTCGTTGCACGGTTTAGCAAACTGATCCAATTTTTCTCTTTTAGGGTATCTGTTATATAACAGACATATCTTACGTGAAAGAAGCGAGAAAATTGTGGGAAGAAAAGACCAATAATGCGATTGTGGACTATGTAGTTGTAACAGGATTGCCAAGAAATGCACTAGTTGAGTGGCATGTATGGGCTCACAAGTACAATAACCAGTTTGATTGTAAGTGATAATTTAATGAACGAATCAACAAGCAAATGTCCTCATCGCACTTCCTTGTCCCATGTTTCAGATGAGGAGCGAGGAAAATGTGTAAATAGCTACTCGATAACTATATATCGACGATGGAACATCGAGAATAACATATCATGTATTCTTTGCCATGTAGACCATCTCAATCCAGAGGCTGAGTTTGAAGAGAATATCTTCAAGGAAGCAATGGATTACGCGGTACAAAAGTTGAAGCAAGACAGCGAAGATGAAACTTCAGTTATAAGTGTAAAGGTTTTCTATTCTGTTCAGAAAAAATTATCTTCTAGTATATTAAAAAAATACTTTGACAATACTCACGACGATGTGGCACTTAGCTACACTTTAGTACCTGTTGTTTCTCTGAAAACAAAACAGACTTTTTTGTCGATATGTGGGATACGATTTCCTTGAATTGATGGTGAGTGAGATGTGCGAATCAAATGGAGGATGTCACGGCAAAAATGGTCGGTTATGTGCTAAAACTTGTTGGTTCCAGAAAGCACTTATTTTGCCACATTTCCATCGAGCTGTGGCATACTGAATTTAAAATGGGAAAGTTATGAACATATACTTTGTTTACTGATTTCATAGTGTAATTTTCGGTGAACATAGATGTTTGCTTCATGTGGTAAATAGTCAATATACAATTTATTTTGATATCTGTTCTAAACCCGATGCTTAAAAAGTGTAGATTAGCAAAGATACAACATATTATAGAATTTAATTTATATGAAATTGAATCGTAGTTCGTTTTTTATTAGCATTCTGTAATTTTTAGCCGGATTCTTACCATCATCGTACAATAAAAAATTATTCATATCTTAAATTTTGTTTTATACTCTTCTTATTGCGCACCAACATTTAGGTAAATAATAATAAATTAGTCAAACGATTGATATTTTTCAAAACATTCAGTGTCATTTTAGAATAGCAGCGGCATATTCTACTATTCCCCTCCATAATAGTTTTGAGGACTAAAACCTTTTCATCTACAATAGGGCGGTATACTCTATGAATCCGTTTTCCGAGCGTCAAATAACGCTTTTCAGCCTATGGACTCCTTGTGCCCTGGTGCATAAAGTTACCATAGCGACTGCAGCACTTGAAATAACCTATGTTGAATATAATATAGCATTCATTGAAATTATCATATACATAATTGTCATTTAGGTTTTTCGGGTTGGATTTTCTCCAGAGCTTTCAGTTGCAGCTGCGGCAGCCATCTTCAGTGGCGCTGTCATCGAGAGCGAAGAGCTGATCGGTCAACTGGATGGGCGTGCGGTTTAATAGGCGGACCGAGGACTGAGCTATCTGGTGGGCATACTCTGGGTCCCTTGAGCGACGTGGTTTTGGTGCTGCGTTTTTTAGAATTTGGAACCACGTTTTATTTAAAGCAAGGCCTTCTTCTTTTCTATTGAAATTATCCTTGTGTTTGTGGATTTCAATTGTTTTTCTGTACATTTGGGCTGAGTAGTCTGTGGATGTTGGTAAGACTTCAGTTTGGTCGAACAGAACATTGTGGCCATCTAGTAGTGCGTGTTCGGCCACTGCTGATTTATCCGTATGTCCCAGTCGACAGTTTCTTTCGTAATCCTTAATATGTGTTTCAAAACTACCTATAGTTGTGCCTACGTATACTTTACCACAGGAACACTGTATTCCGTATACGCTGGCACCGCTCAGGGGTCCCTAGGGCACTTTACTGATGTTGAGAGTTGCTGGACTTTTTTGTCGGATTGTACATGGTCTTGACGTTGTGTTTCTGCAGCAACCTTCCTATTCTATCCGTAATGCCTTTAATGTATGGTAGGAAGGAGACTCCCGCAGGTGGTTCCTTGTCTCCTGCCGGTGGTCTGCCTTTTTGTCGTGAAACCTGTTTTATTTGTTCCCTGTGATAGCCATTTGCTTGTAAAACTATGTTACCATGATCCAATTCCCCTTGTAGGTATTGAGGTTCACAAACTCGGTGTGCCCTGCCTATCAGATTTTTAATGACACCTCTTTTTATCTGTCAGTGTTGGTTGCTTTGCAGTAAACTCTGTGACCCAGCTTTAAGTTCTCTTGTCTGAACACCAATACGTCCAGAAAGGTCAGTTGATTGTCCTCTTCTATATCCATTGTGAATTTGATTTTGGGGTGAATGCTGTTTGGGTGATTTAGGATCACTGCTAGTTCTGTTCTTCCGTGGCTCCATACCACAACTGGGACGATTGGAAGATGGCTACCGCAGAGGTAGCTGAAAACTCTGTAGAAAATCCAACCCGACCCCGGCTCAACAGCCCGAAAAACCTAAATGACATTAGAATTCGCCGTATCCTTCAATAGTCATATAGTTGTTATTAGGCAACGGCATAACTACTGAATTTATAATAATACAGTCACTCTGGATATTTTTTATTCTGTGTGAAAACTGCTCAAGGGTAAAGACAAACAGAGCTGTTTTGACCGACGCGTTTATCGAATCGGCCGCGTTCTAGTAATCCACACTGAGCTGTTTCTTCAGCGGTTTATGCAGTGATCCATTCGATTTGCAGAATGGATGACGTATTGTATTTATCGCTACTGTATTTGTATTGGAAGATTAGTAAAAAGAAAAAAAGGAATAGAAGAATGTGGATACATCCAATCATCGAAGAAAGGCAGCGAAAAGGTCATTTTCATCCATTGTTTGCGGATTACAAAGAGATGAAGAAAAGTTTTTCAACTTTACTAGGATGTCGCGAATTACTTTTTACGAGTTATTAGCAGTTTGTGGAGAAAAACTAGCAAAGAAAGATGCACGTATGAGAAATGCGATAATATCAGAGGAAAAACTAGTAATAACTATCCGGTAAGCAAATAAGTTAGGTAACTGTTTCTCATTTTATTAAAAATTTACTCCACAATCTTTCATACATTATAAGAGTTTATTTATTCAATTCATATTAAATATACTAAACTGGGAATCGTCTTCCGAAAAGTGGGAATAATATCTTATAACTGATTCAGCTGGTGAAGGAGCTGGAGGTAGTGTGGAGTTTATCTGTTGTTTGGCGGCATTCTGAGATACTCCATACTGCTCTTGTGGATGTTGTACAAGTCCTGACTGATTGGGATAATGGGTTATGGAATGTCTTGGCAGTGCAATAAGTGAAGGTACTAAGGAAAGTGGTAATTGTCATCTTCAGTCATCGTATTGTTTGCTCTTTTTTCGTAATTTTCAAGTGAATGTAATAATTTCTCTTCGACCGGGTGTGTCCTTTTTTTGCAAATTTTAGAATTATACTTTTCTTTATAGATTAAAGTGGGCGTTTCAGGTTTATTTGTATCTAATTAGGATGAATATTCATTATCTAATGAACTGGTGGTTTGTCTGGGCAGTATTATATCTGTGAGAAATTGTAACCTCTGTGTATAAACGTAAGGAGCTTTCCGATAAGCTCCAGCCCCTGACTTTCCTTTCCTTTGATGAATATCTATTGAAAAGTTGTCTCGCATATTTTTCCACTTTTTATGCAATTCATTACCTGTAACAAAATAGAATTACGTACATAACGTTTTAATTAACTGCATTTTTTCATTTTAGATATTTGGCTACGGGCTGCTCTTTGGCCGAATTACATTATAATTTTCGTATTGGTAGATCTATTGCTAGTAACATTATCCAAGAAATATGCGAAGCAATATGGATTGAATTAGCAGACAAAGTTATACCGCAATGTTCAACAGAGAAATGGATAGAAATTGCTAAAGGGTTTCAAACATGTGCACAGTTTCCCAACTGTGTAGGAGCAATAGACGGGAAACATATTTGGACTAAGCAGCCACCCAATAGTGGGTCTATGTACTACAATTATAAACAGTACTATTCTACGGTACTGTTTGCGATGTGCGATGCAAATTATTGCTTCTCGTATATTGAAGTGGGATTATATGTTAAATCAAGTGATGCTGGCATATTCACAAATTGTAAACTTTATGAACGATTAGTTGATGGTACATTGGGAGTCCCTGCACCATGTGCTATTGACGAAACGAATGAAAAATATCCTTTCATAATAGTTGGCGATGAGACATTCCCCTTATCCGAAAATTTGCTTAGGCATTTTGGAGGTAAACAACTGACACCTTTAAAAGAAACTTTCAATGCTAGATTAACCAGAGCCAGAAGATATATCGAATGCTGTTTTGGTATTCTAGCCAACAAATGGCGTATATTTCATCGACCTATTGACCTCGATATTGATGTAACTGTAACTGTAGTTAAAGCTGCTTGTGTGTTACATAATTTTATAAGGACAAGGGATGGCAATCGGTGGAATGACGAGAAGTTAGATGAAAATATCAATCTTGAAGGTCTAGCACCAGATACAACCCACAGAGGAAATCCATTAGCATTATCCGCTAGAGATAAATACGGTCAATATTTTGTAGAACAAAAAACCGTTAAAATAATAAAGATAGCCAATAAAAAATGTTAATTTGTTCTTATTATAAACAATTATTATACCTACCTAACTCCTTCTTTTCGTCAATCGTGCTGTTTTCTTTTGCAAACAAATTGACTAGTTCCTACCAACATTTTCTTCTCATAACCCTATCGCTGTATTCCTTTTTCCTCATATCCCAAAGTGGCGGTCGGTTCTCTACTTCGCTAATTAGCTTTTCAATATCAATTTTGTGTGCTTCCATTTCTATACAAAACGAGTCGAGACACGTACGTGTGTGAACAGAGTAATGTAATGACGCTGAAAGACTCGACGCGCCACTTGAATTAAACCGACTCGATTCCTTCTGAGGAATCGAGTCGGTTTAATAACTACAAACCGAAGCTGTTTTAAAACCGCCGCATGAAACGCGTCGTACCGCTGTGTGTATTTTGTACTACGAATGATATATTATACAGCCTACGACTCGGGCACCAATTCGATAAACGCGTCGGTCAAAACAGCTCTGTCTTTACCCTTAATTTTTATAAGCGTTTTATGCCCCTTTGCGTATTAGAGCCGGCAGCGTTTCATCTGAGCTCCTAGATATATAAATAAATATTATGTACCGCAAAGGACTTGGACTTTCTGAAATTAACTCCTATTATACTGATACCTTTCAGCGAGTATACATTTATTGTTCCCGAACATTCACAACATTTTAAAAAACCAGATCTTACGGGACTATAAAAATTAAAATATATGGGCATATGGACGATATGTACAGTTGACGAAATCATAGTGTTCCAATTACGAATTATGTTCATGTTCATAACTTTTTAGAGATCCCGTGACTTATTGTAAATCTTTTCACGAAGCGACTTACCTAGCATTTGTCTAATTATGCACCAGATGAATAATATATATTTTTTGCTCAAAGTTATTCAAAAGTTGATGCCGTTTTGCAAACATTAGAAGTCACTTCGTGTGAAGTCCGACTATATGTGTGATAACGGTAATTTTAACTATATAAGAATATATTCATATGAAAGATGCTGTGCAACCATTGTAGTAAATGTATATGGTAGATCGTTGTTGATTTTTGTATTTTTTTTGTTGATATATTTGTAAATGTTGAAGTATAGCAGCTTCAAAATGTCGTATGCAACATGAACAGAATATACTTTTAAGAATAGTACATAATTTTTTTAATCTTATAAAAGATACAACGAATGCAAACAGTTTGGGACTGCAGTTCATATTGCATTTACATCGACAAGCGATTTACACATGTTGACATTCACACCTTCTAGCTATAAAAGTGCTGTGGCATATTTTGCCAGATTCCCTAGATGGCGGCTGGACGCGATCTAGGAAATTTTTTAAATGGAATGGTGGGTCATGTGATACCTCGTTTTGAATCTCCCATTGAGTACTGTATAATACTAGAGTAGAAATTTACTATCTTCACTAAAATGGCGGACTGTCAAAATTGAACGTTTTTGGCATTGCTGCAATGCTGTGATGGAATTATTCATTGTCTTTTATCTTCAAAATGCAGGGGTGAGTGTGGACGGGTACAGCGAGAGCCTCGAGGTTGCTTACGCCAATCTGAGACAATGAATCCATCATAACATTAAAATGCCAAAAAATGGCAAACGCGACTTTTTTACTTGATGGAGTCATCAACCGATTCCATTCAACAGAAGTGCAACAGTCAAATGTATGAGTATGTTATTCTACAAGCTAAAATTGACCCTTAGAGGAGAGAGAGAGACGTCAACATGACATGGCAGTCGGCAATTAAGGTAGTATCTACACTGTGGACCAATTATGTAAGTAAAATGCAATGATGGTCTTTATGATTTTTATGGAACAGGGTTCCCAATCTTTTTTTGTTGAGGCTCCCCGGACTATAAATTATATTCTCATGCCCCCCTTTACTTTTTCAATAAATACAATAAAACGCACATTATATAGGCACAAAGACTTTTATTTTAATTCTAATAAAGAAACTTTAAAAGTTTAAATATAAACTAATGAATGTTTTTTATCGAAAAACTTGAATAAAATAAGAGTAGGTACTAATGAGACACTTGAGATCGCATGTTCTGTACCAGTTGGTTGAATCTAGGTTCTGTTTTTGCCATCATCAGGTCGCTATTGACATCAAGACGATTTCGCAGTTTAGTTTTAATTAAAACTAGAAAAAGGAACTAGTAGTCGCAAAGCAAGAGAGGCAACAGGCAATCTTTTGATCCAAAATTTCTCCAATGTTAAAAGATGGAAGTCATCTTTCATGGACGAATCAGCCTTTATTTCGAGAAATTCTGGTAATTGTGACTCATCGACAACAAATGGATTTCTTGTCATGTGCCCTATTGGTGACTCTGAATTGATGTTTCGATAGTATCGGCGAAATAAGTCTTCCAGCGTTTGCAAATGAGTTTTTAAGTCAGCTTTTAAATTTGCGTCCAGTATGTTATTTTTAATTGCTTCGAACAGCCGAGAAAAAGATATAACATTTTGAGAAGACACTTTTTGATTCCAAAGTTGAAGCTTTGATATGAACCCCTGGATATAATCAGGATTGCTTATTATAGTGTTGTTTCCGCCCTGAAGTTTCAAGTTTAGCTCATTCAATGAATCAAATATGTCAGTTAAAAGAGCCAACCTCCATTGAAATGTGTAATGTTTGAACATTGTCAAGAAATCGTGTTTTTCTTTGAACTCAAGAAAAAGAATTACTTATTCTTTCAATTCATAAAGGCGAGCCAACATGTTGCCTTTGGACAGCCAGCGTACTTCTGTATGGAACTGAAGAACTTTGTGATCAGAATCGAGATACTCGCAAAGTAAATAACCGATTGGTCACAGCGCTGCTCTTCATGTAGTTTACAATCCTTATAGCCGAGTCCAAAGTTTGGAGTAATTTCTGTGGCAATATTTTGGAAGCCAAAGCTTGCCGATGAATAACATAATATGTACTAACCATTGCGGGATTTTTTTCCTTGAGTTTTTTAGCTGAGCCCGATCGTACACCTATCATTGTAGGTGCGCCATCTGTGCAAAGTCCAATGAGTTTCTTCTAATCAAAATAATTTTTTTTCAACAAAATTTGATATTGAATTAAATATATCTTCAGATGTAGTACCTGCTGTCAAAGATTGGGAGTACAAAATCACTTGAATGATATCTCCGCCGATGTAACGAACATAAACTATTAACTGTACACCATTAACGATGCCGGTGAATTCATCGCAACTAATGGCAAAAAATCATTCAAAATTATTTCGCCACGTTGGTTTGATTGTGATGTGGTAAAAAAGTCACAATGGCCGATCTATGAACGAGTCTCCACTCAATCAACGATTTAGTAAATTAAATAAAAATGGTAACTGAAGTTTGTAAATACACATACTTAACCTTTTAGCAGTGAGACACAATAATTTGACACACTCAAACAGATTTCTCAACAAAACATAGATGCTCATCCGCGTCTGGTAGGTACACAATTTCTTCTAAGTGATGAATGTAAAGCGGAGCGCGGCGGGGGTGCGCGCAGATTTCATGTTGTGACTTGTCGAAAGTTGTATAAACTGCGATTGACGACGCCGGGTTTTGAAACAGCGGTTGACAGAATAAGTGAATATGATATTTGATTTCCAGTTTTACAGTTAAAATCAATTCATAAACTTTATATATATATATATATATACGGAAGCAGCCGAGCAGGTAAAAGCCTAAATGCCGCGGCTGCTGAGGATCTCAAAGAAATTTTGTTATCGGCCAGTTCTGGACATACGAAGTTCGGCACGGTTAGGATGGGCCAACGTCAGGCGGGTTGGTCTGGCAGGCATATCGCGCGGCGGCATCATGGATGAGAGCTCCGAGGAGCAAAGCCCGTCGGTGTAGCGGTAGAAGAAAGCTAGATCGCCGACGGCCCGCCGGTGCGAAAGGGTCCTGAGACTGTCTGTTAGAGAAAAGTCATCGATCAGTCTGACAGCGCTCCTCTGGACTGCATCGAGCTTAATAAAGGGCCGCAGTACCCCAAACCTGTGAGGCTAGGCCTTGTATAGAGTGATAAGGTCATGTGGAGAAAAGTATTTCTTTGCACTAAACAAATAGTATAGCTTTTTACCAGCAGCTGCCGCTATTGACGAGATTTGTTAGTGCCAGGTCAAGTCCTTGTTGATCTGGACTCCGACCAGCCGAAATGAACGGCTCTTTGGCAGGACTCGGCCATCCATCGAAACCGGATGAGCGCTAGGACGCTTTTTATTCGTCAAGGTACAGTACTGTGTGTTGGAAGCATTAAACTGTACAAGATTGTTGCGTCTCACATATTTGAAGACCAAACTTGGAACACACATCTCCTGATAATTCAAATTATTATTTAAATAAACAAGCAAAAAGTCTCAACGGAAGCCATGCCGAGCAAAATAAAACATTTCATGTCAAACAGAGCAAAAAGTACGCGGAAAAACCAGCTGATTGTGGCAACAAACACGTGATCTTTGAAGGTTCTTTTTCATTGGTCGAATCGGAACGACGACAGAAAATTAAAATTTCGTCAAGTTTAGCGTCAGCGTGGCGGAATTCTAGTTTATAAAAAGTTTAACGTTAAGCGTATGATTGAACGTCAGAGTTTATAAACCGAACTTAAATCTCAACGGGCACCCACTCAAAGTTTACCTTTTAGACTCGATATACACTTATTTTCGGCATGCTGCAGATAGACAACTTTAGATGAACGAATGTTGAATCTTTTTCCTACGCAGAGCAGACTCGAGAACGTTATTTTCAGTGACGAGGCCCATTTTCACTTAGACGGTTATGTGAACAAGCAAAATTATAGATATTGGGCACCTACGAACCCAAAAGGCATGAAAAACAGTTACATAGTCCAAAGGTGGCTGTTTGGTGCGTCATGTCATCTAGCGGTATTATTGGACCGTATTTCTTTGAAGAGAATCGATGGACACGGAGAAAGCACTTTTTCCTTAAAAAGTTATATCGAAGTTTGGAGACATCCAATGGCCTCCTGGGTCACCCGACATCACGCCATGCGATTATTTTTTGTGGGGTTATCTAAAGTGAAAAGTGTATTCCGATAATCCAGGACCACTGGAGGAGCTTAAAGACAACATTCGACGAGAAATAAACATCACTCCGGAACTCTGCAAGAGTGTTTCAGAATTTGAGCGCGATTAGAAGAGCGTGTCCGAAGTGATAGCAAACATTTGGACGGAATGATCGTTAAGAAAAAAACCCGCAGAATTTACGAATATGTTGATAGTAATAAGTATTTTCTTTTCATTAAGTTTGTATTTTTTTCTTAAATAAAGAAGTGAACTTTCCAACTGGACACCCTGCATCACATTTCTGGACTTCAAATCTATACTAAGTGGCATATAAATCCGAACGCCCAGTTTAAATGGTTTTATTTTAATAAAAGTTGGTGAATGTATTTATCTTACTGTAAATAACAAGTGAAAAATTTTTCAGCCTTATCAGTTGGACATTCCGGTTTTTATACTGCTTTTTTTTAATTCACTAACGCTCTAAAAATGAATATTTCAGCCGCAGTAAAGAATCAACGTTGGCGGATTTTGGTTCTTGACATCCTTTACGATCGGTTACGATGCCTCGAGTACGGAGACCTGTACGATTTCGTCAACTTAGTGAGTTTGATAGGGGCCGTATAGTGGGACTTCGGGAAGCTGGACTTTCTTTTCGGGCAATTGCAGTTAGAGTGCAAAGAAATGTAGACACTGTGGTTAGGTGTTGTCAGGCATGGCTTCGAGAAGGCCGTACGCAAAGAGCAAGGGGCACTGGACGCCGCCGTAGAACAACAGACCGTGAAGATCGCTGCCTAAGATTATTGGCCTTAAGGGACCGTTTCTCCACTACCAAGTCAATTGCAAATGAATGGTTTGCAGAACACGGAAGACCTATTGGCATGCGAAGTGTTTACCGATGAATGAGAAGTTTTGGCTTGTTTTCATACCGGCCACACTGGGTCCTCCCTTTAACTCGAGAACACCGACGTAATCGCCTTGAGTGGTGGAGACAACGGTCACTCTGGGATCAGGAATGGAACAGTATTGTCTTTAGTGACGAGTCTCAATTTTGTTTAGGCATTCACGATGGTCGTGCCAGGGTTAGAAGGCGACGTGGTGAAAGGAGGAATCCACAGTTTTTTGTTGAAAGACATGTTCATCACACTGTTGGAGTTATGGTTTCGGGTGCTATAGCTTATGGTTCCAGGTCACCTTTAATCTTCATCAGAGGTAACATGAACGCGCAGCGTTATATCCACGAAGTTCTAGAACCCCATCTTTTACCCTATCTTGACACCCTGGCAGATCCAACTTTCCAACAAGATAATGCCCGACCACATGTTGCAAGAGTCACAATAGACTTCTTTCAACATAATGATGTCACATTGTTACCATGGCCACCAAGATCTCCCGACTTATCCCCAATTGAGCACGTGTGGGATATGATGGGTAGGAGATTGCTTAATTTGCAACGTTCTCCTCGGACTCTAGAAGCACTTCGAGAGGAGTTGGTGGTTGCCTGGAATGAGATACCACAGGAGGACATTGACCACCTGATCAGAAGCATGCCTAGGCGCGTTGGAGAATGCGTAGCACATCAGGGTGCATCCACACATTATTAAAGGTCAAAGGGCTTAAAAGCAGTGCAATCATTTTGAAATTTTTATCATTTACTTATTATGCTTCATTAAGTACTTATACAAAATTTTATTAAAATAAAACCATTTAAACTGGGTGTTCGGATTTATATGTCACTTAGTATATTTTCAAAATCCGATTGTGAATGGTACAACCATATTTTAAACTGTATATTGCAATCTGCCGCCTTAGATCGCATTTATGCACACGACAATGTCCAAAATTGAAAGCAGTAACGGTCAACCAGTGTTAGGCAGCAGCGGTGGCCCCAGTAGTAGACCCTTCGGTCTCCTAATCAGTCGCCGTGTGCTGTGCGGGTTCGAATCCCGTTCCAAGAGAAAATTTTCTCTTGGCTATGGATGTTGTGATTGTCCGTAGGCGGTCTCTGACTGTCGAACGCGGAGGTACCACCCGGCGGATCTCGTAGGCGGAGCCAGAATGTGTGCATGTTTCATGCACACGTGTTGACTCGCCAGAGTCCGTGTGGCGTTCCCCCTTTCCCCTGTATCCCCCTATAGCCCCTAGCCCCACGGTACCCAATGGGTGTTTAGGCCTTAGTTCTTCGTGGTAGTTGGAGTATAAAAAAAATATGTTAACCATTGTGCGATAAATGCAGGCTCAATGTCGTTAGGAAATGACAATAAAATGTACATGTCCACTCAGCTAGGAAATAACTTTATTCATTTTTTTGCTTATTGCTGTATTATCATTGGTCACAATACAGTTCAAATCAGCACACATCTTACAATATGTACACTTTATTTAAAAAATGATAAAATCAATTGCTTCATAAATTATTGTGAAATATTCAAATAAAAAATATATTCAATATTAAGGCATGCATACTTACATTAGGAATTTGGAAAACCAGCCACAAAAAGTATACCGTTTGATAATATTTCGCCAATATTTATGGCAAAATATATCACAGAGTAGATATAGTGAAATATTTCAATTACAAATTAGAAGATAAATTCACACATCAAAATTAAAACAATCTTAGTAGTTCTGTTGATACCTTTGCTATCAAAAAATCGTTTAATGTATTGTTAAATTGATTTCATTTTAACACAGTAGTATAACATTTTTTTACCAATTCAGTATACTATCAAACAGATTGATACTCTCTCTATGAGTTTGAGCTACAGATTCACCATTAGATGCAGTGATATTTGATACGGCAATACATTTTAGTATGGATCAATTATAGGAGTTTGTAATCAAACTAGTTTTGTAAACTTACGTAAGCATCAATAGGTGAAAATAAGCGTTTTGACCTATTTATTGAATTATAAAAGCTTGTGATGATGACACTATGTGTATTCTGCGGAAATAATGAAACACATATGAGGGCATGGTGGTGCAACAGTACACCTTAAAGATGATATCGTTCGCAAATGGTTTAAAAAACTCTACAAGATATTGGGATAGATTAAACAAATGAAGATCATAGAAACAGTAACTAATTAGACCTCATCGTAATGTTTTGCTGATTCTGTGATTTATCGAAGAAGAAGCCTAAATGCCGGGACACCGCGGTTGCTATGAAGATCCCAAAGAAATTTTGTTAATCCGATTTTTGAACTGCCTGAGGTTAGTAGAACTGGGAAAAGCTTCCTTTTGTAGATCGTTCCACAATCTCGACACCCCCGGGACAAAGGAGCGGTCGCATCGGCCAGTTCTGGAAGTTCGCATCGGTTAGGATGGGCGGCTAAAGACAGGCGGGTCTGTCTGGCAGGCACATCGTGCGGCGGCATCATGGAAGAGAGCGCTGAGGAGCATAGCCCGTTGGTGTAGCGGTAGAAGAGAGCTAGATAGCCGACAGACCTCCGGTGTGAAAGGGTTTCGAGACTGTCTGTTAGAGAAGAGTCGTCGATCAGTCGGACAGCCCTCCTCTGGACATCATCGAGCATAAATAATGTTGTCGATGCAGCAGCACCCCAAACGTGTGAGCAATACTGGAGGCTAGGCCTTATCTGGGCCTTGTATAGAGTGAGAAGGTCGTGCGGAGAAAAGTACGTCTTAGACCTAAAAAATAGCCTAGCTTTTTTCCACCAGCTGCCGCTATTGACGAGAAGTGTTCATGCCAGGCAAGTCCTCGATGATTTGAACTCCGACCAGCCGAAGTGAACGGCTCTTTGGCGGAACTCGGCCATCCATCGAAGCCGGATGAGCGCAAGAGCGGCAGAGATCGGCATGTCTTTCTCAATTGTCGAGCTTTCATTATTTGCCCCTAAGGTTTTGTCCACGATGAAATGTCTTTTAGTGAAATGTCATACGGGCGCTAAATACGCGGCTTGAAGTCGCCATATTAAGGTGGGCGTTATGGATAGGACACAACGTTTGAACAACGACTGTGCCTGGACGCCATGAAGATATGCCACCTAAGCAAGGAAGTAGCGCGATATCAAATCGTTTGGAGTGATTCACGACAGCCATCCGACGTAGATTGATCTGCCTGTGCTTATGCTTCCAAACTATTTTCACCTGTATAATCTACGTATTGGGCGCTATAAATTATACTCAAAGTGGAACACTAGTGATATTTCTGAATTGTATAACCTCATAGATTAGTTTCACAAGATTTTGTTATATCTCATCTCTTTTCGCCAGGTGTATTCGTATTACTGGTTCCCAGACTGAAGGTCGTTAAAAGTATGTAACAGAAACATTAAGATCCAAAACACCTACACCATTAAATCTCATGCACAATACTTACATAACCTTAACAAACACTAAACAGTTTAGAAAGACATAATTGACATGAAAAAAGCTTCAAAAGAAAGCAAATGTTCCGATTTTATACAAAACCAATCGTTTCTGTGATCTTATTTATTCAATATATATATTAAAAATATTTAGCCAACAATTATATAATAAAATTAAGTATTTATGTGTGTATATATAAACTTTACAGAACATTTTAACCTTATTCAGCCTTTTAAGTTTTAATGTAAAAATTGTTAGTCATCTTTGGACTTCGACTCCCCTGTGCCTGAGGGCTCATCTTCTTCATCTGAATAGTTTGTTGGTTCTTCACCTGGTTTCAACAGCCTTCCAACGAATTCGTATTTTTCTGGAAATAATTATACATATCAAATCACAGTATTCATTAGTTGTTTTTTAAGTAGCATCCAAGTACAGTTTATACACATAGGGATTTGTTTGGCAGATACAATTTTTGGACATTTTTAAAGGCCATACTAGAGATTTTACTGTGCCAAGGCACTATGCTTATGCAACATAAATAGAAACTTGTTACCTATTACTTCTGTAATTTCAGTATAAAAGCTTTCTAAATATGTGTTCCAATATAACGTTTGATTAGAAAACAAAATATCACAAATCCACTGCAACTTTTAATAACACAAGTTTTAAGCACAGCTAACAACCAGCTCTGAAGTCTCGTGTCACTATAAAAAATGGCCGCCATTTCGCATGTAAATTCCCCTAGTACAACAAAGAAAGAGGTTATAGTGCCCCGCAGCAGGCGCTGATGCCACGTATCCTGCCAGCGTAACCAGATATTCTTTGCAATAATTGTAAAAATTAATGTCCCGAAATTAAAAAAAAATTAACTTTACAGGTCTGCCCCTATTCAGTCACTGTTTGGGAACTATGGGATATGAAGCTTATTTTGTCAAAAATTTTGCTACATTATCTGCAAAAGTGTTCAAACCTCAGTGTTTTTCCGTACAAAATATTCCGTAATTCCATAGCAGTATAGTAGTAGTCCTACTATATTATGCTATATCAAAGTTTTTCCTTTAAAGAGGCATTTCAAAATATACTAAAATATATAGGATACTTCATTTGAAAAATATATGTTTGTGTTGTCATGATATGTGAATCACCCTGGGGAGAGAGGCATATTTTCCTAGCAATTAGCGTATAGTAATTTTTATAACTAACTTTTTTAGGTACTTTAAATATCGGAACTATGGACCAATAACACGGATTATAAAGATTCGCCCTGTATGTAGAAGCATTATGTAGTTATAGTCTCCGTACCATGGGCGGAACACTGCGCAGACTAATCTTCAGCGCATCTGCTTCTCTCTCCAGTACGCATGAAGTCGGTAACAGGGGACCGCTGTTTTCATTCTCTTCCTGGAAATACTATAATACATTTAGCACGAGCTGACGGTTTTCTCTATTGATTGTATTTCCGGGAATTGTACAATTTTATATTGAAGATTGATAACAGGACAACTCAAATTGCTCGCCGATGCCAAGTAAGTTGTCACTCTGACAAATATGATTGAACTACAACTAAAAAACGTATGTCTTTGAGCTTACCGAAAAAACATTCACACACAGGGGTAGGTTGCATGTGTATGAATCAGGGAGATGGTGATATATAAAGGGATACTGGTAGTCTTACTTTGACCCGCCAGAACGGTGACTGCAACTATAGTTGAGAAGTCGTTGTCAGAAGTATCAGGTTAGATTGCGTTGGTTGCCACTTTGATGGTAGTTTGCTCTCGTTTTTTTTCGCGTCAAAGATACCGAAGTTCTTGTGATTGAGTGAATGCTATCTATATTTGTCTGATGTTTTTAGCTGTTTATATTGAAAATGAATGGTTTGATTATATCGCAGCATCTTAGAATACATACATAGCAAAAGTAAATATTTTTCCGTTTAGTGTAATTACTTCTACCAGTACAAATTTATTTTAAAGCTTTTTCTTAAATAAATAGTGATCAATACCTCGTCACTTCTTTTTGGACTAACATCCCCCCTTTTATTATTTATTCGCACAAACTACACTAGATCATATCAAAATATTATCATTTTAAGATTGCAAAGAATATCTGCGGCCGCTGTCATGATACTCGGTAACACCGGCTGCTGCTAGTGTTCACTAAAAATCTTTCATCGTTGTACACATGTAATTTTCTCTGCTGAAATCGCGGCCGTTTTGACACTGACAGTAAAGTTCCTTAGCTGATTGTTATCTAAGCTGTGTTTCAAGCTCCTGGGTAGCCACAATACTTTTTAGTGCTCTTGTTTCGCTGCTGTTATAACTTTCCTTATATCGATTGTGCGCAGTAGCAGGATAAATTTTTGTTATCTGTTATCCAAATAAGAAAGCTCCGTTAGCTACGGAAAATAGGGAGGGCTTATTTCATAAGGCTATTTTTGCCTTATCCAGCGCTATTGCTGGAATTCGTAAAGCTGGATAAGGTTAATTAAAATAATTTCAAGTTTTTAAAACATATTGGTTAAAATATAATAGAAATATGAGTTTTAGGTCACAGATAAAAAAAGCAAGAAATGGTCAGTGTTCTAAATAAATTCATTTGTCCTGGTTTTTTTTATACATGAAATGTGGCAAGTAGCGTTTTATTGCCTTGTATTCGCGGATATTCGTCATTTGCTGTAGCTGTCGTAAATAACCTGATAGAAGGTTCAACGATTTGTTATTATTGTTGCACTAAAAATTCTCTAGTACCACATATTCTAGGCAAAATGTCATCTACTCATTATGATAACAATGTATACGTATTTTACAATCCAAAGTATCATAAACCAGTACTCTTGATACATGATTATTTTTATAGACACTTTTACAGGCTATTAAAACGGCTATAAGCATGTTGAATTACATTTCCAGCTTGTTTCCAACTAATTGTGATTAAACTTTGGAAACTCAATTTTAAGCAGATGCACACTATCAAATTAGCAATTAAATGGATTTCCAAAACCCATGAAGTCTTTCAGTACTTTGCGTGATATTAGGCTTGAGTTAAAATTTCATCAAAATCTGAGCAGTACTTTCAGAGATACAGATAGGCAGAAATGAATAAGCCAGATTGAATATGATATCTTTGATTTCTATCTCTAAGACCATTTCTAACAGTATATAAGATTGTTTCATTCTAGTTACCAATCATCAGATCATATATGTCTTGGAGACAGTCAATAAAAAGCAAACAAGCGGATATGGTCTACTAAATTAAGTGTTGGGCCTGGCAACGTAGCGTTCGATCTGGCAACACTGGAGGCGCCGGGCTTGGAGCGGACCAGGGGAACATGTGATCCTCCTTCAGTACAAGTTTGAACTCGCTCGAGTCATTTGGTTGTCCGTAGAGATTTTTTTTGTGAAACAGTTTTATCAATTGTGTGACGAGTGACATCAATTTCAAGCAACGGCGTGCTATCAGGTTTTGCTTCAGACTTGGGCACAGTGCAACAGAGACTCTTGCTAAACATGGCTACGGAGATATTATGTTGTCAAAAGCCCAGATTTTCGGTGGTTTAAAGCATTTTCAGAAGGGAGAGAGTCGATTGAAGATGAACCAGAAAGCGGAAGGCCTTCGATGAGAGCATCGACAGAATCCGGGATCTTGTGCGCTCAGATTGTCGGTTGACAGTCAGAATGATCTGGGAAGGGTTAAATTTGGCTCACACCACCATTCGTCAGATCAAGGACTGGGTGTTGCATCACGATAAGCTTACTTATTCGCCTGACGTGAGTCCTTGTTACTTTTTTCTCTTCCCAAAGTTGAAAAGTCACCTCTAGGGAATTCATTTTGGGACAGTCGAAAACATTCAAATGGCTGTAACCAACCAGCTGGAGGCTATGCCAGTATCGGAGTTCCAGCTCTGCTATGAGCAGTGGTAGAAGCGTCTGCAGCACTGTGTGACTTCAGAAGAACGTTACGAAGGTGACAATATAAAATTGTAATTATATTTGAACAAAAAAATCAGTCTCATCACTTAATTTACAGAATTCGTATGTCCTGCTCACTTAAAAAACTGAATCGATACACTATGTATACACCATAATCTTGGTTTCATAATACAACCCAACATTATATCAAGGCAATAGTTTTTAATCTCGTGGCAAAGGATATTGCAGAGCTAATAAAATGCAATAAACTATACAGATATTCACGATTTCTTGGTTTCGGATTTAGCAAATGTGAATACTTCTAAACTTAAATATTTTACGATAATACAATGTTGCAAGCAAACACTAAAACATTCTTCTTAACCATCCTCAAAGTTCATATCTTAAGGATTACGACTATCAGAATTTCACATATTTTTGTTACTTTTGACGGGGGATATATGCAATTTATATAAACGCGCCTCGCTGACGCAATTCATGAATCAGCCCATGGAATTGGAAAAAATTAAATTGAACTGCGCCAAGGTGAAATTACTGCGGCAGGCAAGCAGGATACCTAGCGCGACGTGGCGCTCCGTGACATGTTATCTTACGTGCAACACTGTGTAAATAGATGACATTACAGATATAATTATGTACTCGTATTTGCTGTGCATTTTCGCAAAACAACGATACGTTTTATTTCCACAAGCTTTACTTTGAGGATGACTACTTCAGTCGTTGTTATAGCATTTTACGTTTTCGAAAGCGAATCTGATTATATTCATAAAAACCCAAATCACATTTAATTATTCAATAAAAGTAAAACTATGATTTTGTTATTCAATATAGGCATGCATTTATTTACCCTGAACATTAGCGCATGCAATTATCGATAATCGATACAAAAAAGATTTAGTTTTTTTTTTGATAAAAACCGATAATTATCGGTTTCCTTTAAAAAAATATTTTTACGCATAGTATTAGGTATTGGGGTATTTACTACCCAAACTAAACCACAATTATATTGAAAAATGAATTGTATTCATTATGCATTTATTAATGAAGTTAAAAACAAAGTAACCAAAATCAAACAAAATTAAATTTTTTGATTATTTACGACCATTAGTTATATTCTTATACGTGTTTGTATGGAGGTAGATTAAATAAATCAACCAATGTAATACACCCTCTATCAGTTTTAAATAAAATATATTTATTTATTTATAAAATATATTTTTTAATGGTGTTTTTTTATTATAAGTTCGGTATAACTATTCCATACTCTAACGAAGCAGATACCAACTACAGTAAATAGTGACTTTGCATGCACATTGTAATGATCAAATGAAAGCGGCGAGGGGAGTATTGTATCTTTCGGAAATCCCGAAATTAGAATACATGAAAGTTGCTGTGAAAAATATTTATATGATTTTTTTTTTCACTATCAATCTTTATC